CCTGTGAATCACCTTGAGACGTCTCAATGACGTGATAAGGTGCAATATCAAATGCAAGCATTATTTTTATAGACCTTGCATTTAACATAGTGACTTTCACATCAGAATGATGTCTAAAGGACTTCACGAGATTTACTGTAAAGTAACTGTAACTTGTTTTCTTGGCAAACGTGGCAGACAATTTGCATTCCACAAACAACCATGAATTGTTGGCTTGGACCTTGGAATCATTTCCAAATGCCAGAACAGTTCCCCCTTTTGAAATGTGCATGTGATGGTCATCATGACAGAACCTCACCTATAAATGAGAGGATTATGGGATGGTTTGAGCTCCTGGCTACAGCTATGCTTATGATCCTCTGTTGGTTGGGATCAGTATTCCAGCACTTCCCATCTGAGGAGTGTCCTCATTAAAAGGAAGGGGAGATACCAGAATACAGAGCTCAAGAGCACTGGGTTCGAGAGACAAACCTGACCTGCTCGGGTGGTCGTGAAGACATGGTTCACGTCCCAATTGTCCTTTGACAATTTTGGGCCTAGAAGAGTTTAGGGGGAATTGAAGTCTGTCTGCGGGGACAACCCTCGTTCTCTATCCCCCAGTGCCTTCGCCGCCTCCTCCCTCTCCTCCTTCAAGGCCGGTCTCAAAACCTTTCTCTTTGACCGAGCCTTCAGCTCCCCTCTCGACTCTCTTCCCCCCTTCTCGCTCCCTCCCTCCCCTCACCCTGACCATTTCCCCCCTCCTCGCTCTCTCCCTTCCCTCCCCTCACCCTGACTATTTTGCCCCAATGCTCGGGTCATGACCCAACTGTGCAGCGCCTTGGGACGTCCTCCTGACATGAAAGGCGCTTTATAAATGGAATTTTGTTGTTGTTGTTGTTGTTAAGTGGAACATATTCGGTCAAATTTGATTAATGGGGGTGAGCAGGTCTAACCTCGCTACCAATAAACAGGGTGACTGAAAGGTAGTGATATCCTATTATCTTTTTAAAAAATCATGATTTCTTTAAGACTTATTAGACATTCATGACCTTTTGGCCACCCTGTATAGAAAAGAATAGTAATAATGATAAAAAAGGCGTTATCATCAAATGAGATGTTTCAATGCTGTAAAAATATGACTAAATCATTGACTCAAAGACATCAACCCGGGGATTCAACATTGATGTATTGCGGAAGGTTCTGGAATAAGTCCACAGGGACCGGCTGGGAGAGGAGAGCTTGTTTACTGAGGAAAAAAGGAACATGAGATAAACTCTGTAAAATGCTGTAAGGCAGAGAGAATGTAGATGTGAGCAGATTGTTTCAGTTAAACTGTGATTGCAGACAGAGACAATGCAATTGCAAAGCCGACAAGCTTGATGGCAGATCACAGCCTGAAATGGTTCCTGCTCACTGGATTTGCCGCATAGACATTCAAGTACAAGCACTTGAACTGGAGCAATTAACTCCTTCGAAAGAAGATTTGGGAAGTACACTAAGCAGTCTGACATTATAAGTAGTATAGGTAGAGATAGTCAGGTTCACTGCGGTAATAACTTGCACTTATACAGCAACTTTCACAGCGCAGAAAGAGTGAGCTCAGGGGCTGAAGTGCCAACTCTCATTTCCTTGACAATAGGTTTCTGCTCAACCTTCTGACGGTGCCAAACGGCGAATGAAGACGGAGGAGCTTTACTAACACAATAACTAGCACTTATATAGCATCCTCCACGTGGGGCAGCATCTCGGAGCGCATAACAGTGGCGGAGCCAGCCCAATGCCGAGCCGGGGAGAGGGAGTTGGTGACCATGTGGACGGTCAAAGAGGAAAGTGTTCAGTCCAGATCTAAAAGAATGAAAGGAGGGGGCAAGGCGGAGGGATTGAGGGAGAGAATTCCGAAGCTTTGAGGCGTAGTGGCTGAAAATGGAGATGCCGACGGTTGAGCGGAGGGGACAAGAGACAAGCAGGAGGCCAGAGCCACGCGAGCGGAGGCAGTGGGTAGTGGAGTGGGGAGAAAGGAGGTCAGAAAAGTAGGAAGGTGCTAAAGTATGAAGGGATTTGTAGACGAGTGAGAGGATCTTGAAATTGATTTGTTCTCTGATAGGGAGCCAGTGGAGCTGGGCGAGGACTGGTGTGATGGGGGTACAGAGTTTAATGTGGGTGAGAATACGGGTGGAGTTCTGAATCAGCTGTAGTTTGTGGGTAGTGGACCTGGGGAGACCAGCAAGGAGGGCGTTGGCGTAGTTGAAGCAGGAGCTGATGAAGGCGTGGACGAGGGTTCCGGCTATGTTGGGGGGCCCAAATAATAATATAATAATCTTTGCATTTAATAATAATAATAATAATAATCCTTGCATTTGATATAGCGCTTTTCACGTCGGGAGGACATCCCAAAGCGCTTCACAGAACACACTGTAAAGTGAATTGACTGTATATTTGTGGGCGAACGCGGCAGCCAATTGCGCACAGCAATGTCCCACAAACAGTCGTAGATTGAAAATGACCAATTTAATTATTGTTTTTTTTTTTGGAGGGATTATTATTAGGCTCTGTGTGGAGTAAGGAAACTTGCCTAAGGTTTCGCCCTGCCTGGAATTATTTGATGTAACTGCTATCATATCCTTTGACAGAAGAATGTCTCAAAGAGCTTCACAGGATTAGCTGTATCGTGTAGTGACTGTGCATTTTTGCAAACGAATGCAGAAGTCAATTTGCGCACAACATGTGAACCACAACAGCCACGTGCAGTTATACAGCACCCTTCACGCAGGATAGCATCACTGCTCCTCTTAAGCGGTAAGCCAGGAAAGCCCAGAGAGAGACAGGGCAAAGCTAACAAAAACACATTCAATAAACATATGGAAACAATAAAAAACAATACATCAACAGCCAGCAATACAAGGTGGTCCCAGCGGCATACTCATCACATTTAATATCAACAACAACTGGCTAAGGTGGGCCTCATTCATAGCAAAGGGAGAACTCTCGCCCTGCGATAGAGCACTCGTCCACAAGAGGTTTACCACAACAACAAACAACCACAAATTACATTTGTAAAGCGCCTTTCACGTCAGGAGGACGTCCCAAGGCACTGAGTCAGGAGGACGTCCCAAGCCGTGTTACCACATTGGCAAACAGCAGATTTAGGCTGCTCGTAAGCACGTCTGTTGGGGCAATCGTAAGTATCTCATTAATTTTTTAATGAATTTTCACTGCACTGAGCCCGGAGAGACCTCAGACCTCTGTGTGTGGACAGACAAACACTCTCATTAATCGTGTTTGGAACTCTGCCCTTCCCCTGATCCTGGGTAGGATTAGGTAAGTGTTCTTTCCAGGTCACATTCATCCCATGTGATCTCAGCGACACCGACTGCCTGAATCTCGCACTTTTGAATTTCCTTTTTAAGTTGCATGAAAATACAACCAACACCCTATCATCCTGGAGTCCTGTAGCTCAGTGGTTAGAACACTCGCCTTGCAAGTGAGAGGATCTGGGCTCGATTCCCAGGCAGGGCGAAACCTTAGGCAAGTTTCCCTGCCCCGTATGCCTCTTTTTAGTTAGCAGTAAGTAGGAACCTGATTGTTAGTCAAATAGATTAACCTCCCTTTCCAGAGGGAAATAATCCCTTAAAAAATAATAATTATAATTTGATCACTGAATCCACGACTGTTTGTGGGACACGGCTGTGAGCAATTGGGTGACTATATTTCGCCCACAAAATATAATCAATTCGCTTTACAGTATATTCGGTGATGCGCTTTGAGACGTCTCGAAGAGGTGAGTTATAAGGCGCTATATCAAATGCAAGTATTATTATTATTCCTCACCGTCTGCCAAACTTACGTTTCCAGAGGATTTTTACAGGATTCTAAACCAGCTAGTGACCGCTAGTTATCACATAGAATCTAAAATACGGGTCTAGTTTATTAACAGGATTAAGGAATCTGCAGGATTCTTGCCCTCTGGAAGTTGATGATGTGGAGCCAGAGTTTCTAAGGGAAGGCACATTTCTTTTTAAGGAATCTTGTCAGAAAATCTGCATTTTAGCCCCGATTTACCTAATGTCAACAAGTGGTACTTTGAGGTCATTCCCAGAGCTTTCGGTCACTCGGACCGAACTCTTGCCCAAACTCCCTCTGACTCAACCCCCCGCCCCCCTCTGTTCTCAAAACCCCTCTAAAAATCAATCTGTGTGGCTCCTGACTTTGCCCTGTCTCTCTGGGTTTTCTTGGCTTTACGCTTAAGGGGAGCAGTGATGCTATCCTGCGTGAATGGCGCTGTATAACTGCACGTGGCTGTTGTTCACACTGTGGTCCTGCACCTCATTCCCTTGCCCTGTTAGGACTGTCACTCTGCCTCAGTGAAGCTCTGTGAGACCTAATAGATGCAACCGGCTCTGTCTAATAATAATCCTTACATTTGATGCTGCACCATTTCACACCTTTAAAATGCCTCAAAGAACTTCATAGGATTTACTGCAAAATGTATCGGTGTGTTTTCACTCTATGTCTTGCGGGCGAATATGGCAGCCGATTTACACACAGCCACAAACCACACAAACTGCTGCAAAACGAGCAAGCACTGTTGTTATTTAGGGTGAATGTTGTCCAGGACACTGGGAGAAACTCCCTTCTCTTTCGAATGTACCAAGGGACTGGGTGGGTGGATCCATCCATCAATCGATAGATCAATAGATCGATAGATGACAAGAGCACGTTTCTTGCCCTGTAATTAACTCTGGAGGTAAAGAAGCCAAATGCTGCACTGACACCCACAAGGCCTTTTACTCCACCGAGCGCTCCATTCACCCAGCGAGCAGCTTTAACAGTGACATGGGGCAAAGGGAAGGTGAGTTGAGGTAGATTTCCAAGCCTGAGATCTCAATCAGTGTCTTCCTGGGGCTTTACAAGGAGAGAAAAACAATGGAAGCGGGGCAGAAACAGAAGCGGTTTTAATTGCTCAGCTACAGACTGATTAGTAATTAAGAGTCTTTGTCGGGCGATATGGTTCTGGCTCTTACCTTATCGTGCTGCCAGGAGCTGCGTCTATAGCCCAGGTGCAGTGTAGATTGTGTTCATACGGCGCTGGGTATCCAGGTGATAGAATCCTTCCGGAAGATTCCCCGATGATACGACCCCCGCATTCAGCTGAAATTGTCAACATGGCAGAAACAACAGAAAAGACAAAAAAAAAGCCAAGTTTGCAATATTTCACAAAGAAAAGTGAAACCAGAGAACAAACGTGATTAAGACTGAGCCACAGGCAACATCCAACGGTTACACATCATGGAGGATTCTTTATGAGAAGCTGAATGATTCCTCTAATTGACTTGTCAATGTGAAGCAATCCACACACGTCACATAGGTAATATTTGCAGGTCCTAGTTATGCACTTCAGTATCTTTTCCCTGCGGAATTCCCTGTTTGCACTTTAACCCTCGGAGGGCCAGGGCATAGATTTTGTCTGCATTTCGAAGACGCCAATTGAACAGATTTACCTTTCTACCGCACCTTATCCCAGAGTCACATTACAAAAAATGTTGCAACGGGCCATTCAGCCCACTAAGCCTGTGCCAGTGTTTATGTTCCACATGAGCCTCCTTCCTCTTCCTATTCCCCTCTCCCATACCTCTCTACACCCTTCAACCAGTCCCAACTCAGTCACTCCCTTTGCTTAGCAAGCAGCATCCTGCTTCGTATCTCCACCCAGCCTGCATCCAGCCTCGCTGCCCCACTCTCTGGAACTCCAGGCTTCAACCTGAAAGTGCCTTCTCTTTCGATGTCACAGAGTTTTTAATGTACAGGCAGACAGATGGTCTGAAGGATGTCACCGCCAACAATACAGCACTAACTGCCCCAGCACTGCGCTGCAGCGTCAGCCTAGACTGTGAGCTCCAAGTCCCCATGTGAGACTTGAAACACATGACCTCTGACCCCAAGGCGAGAACATGGGTCCTAATCTGATTAAAGATGATTGACATTTGCAGCGAATTGGAAATCTTCCCATTAGATCCATTACTGCGGCACCACTCCGTAATGTTAAGAGCTTGTTTCGCAATAACTTGCTACACACACATGTACAGCTGTTGGAGAAGTTTTGATCAATAAAGTCAAGTCAGTGAATGGACCCCAGTGTGTTTGACGGCCCCAACACACCTCTCTGGATTGAGATAGTCTAAATACATGTCTGATATCTTACCTACGCAGGAAGGCAGCCCGTTGTCCCAGGCTCTGCGATCTCCAGTCAGACACGTCAGAGTGGAGCCACCGTGCAGAGTGTAGCCGGGATCACAGCCGAACACAACACCCGTTCCCGCAAAGTGACCCTCATCCCGAATCTTGTAGCCAAACTGCGGCATCCCAGGGTCCTCGCACCTTATCAGCTCAAAACCTGCAAATGAAACACATCAAGTTGGAATTCCAAACACAACCCTGGACTACACAAGGGGAACGCGCAGATCTGGAGGGAAGGTTCCTCATCGTTTGTGAAGAACGTGATGCTCACTTTGAACCATGCTTTAGGAGACATGATCACGGCACATTCGTGGAGAGAAAGTCCAGAGTTGACGGACCCACAAGAACAACACGGTCGAGGCCTGAAAACTCAATGTTTTTTAATCAAAGATCAGTGTTGCGACTCCTTGAGTGCAACATGCACTGACTGAGGCCCTGACTGGACTGTCTTGTTCAGTGGGGCCCGCTCTCACCTAGTAAATGACCAAGCACCGTCTTTCTGGGGCTAGCTGCCATGCTATCGGGAGCTTGGCAAAGAGCGGGCGCTTTTGCAGATCGCCTGCCTGCACGACCCCCTGTTAATTAATCAGGAGCCCAGGAAAACAAGAGAAAAATACAAAAAAAAAGCACGTCTCCCAACAAGCACGAGTCATGACTCAAATATCAAATGGCACTGACTGCACAGAACTAAGCAGCTGGTGTCACAACAACAACCAGTTGCGCTTAAACAGCGTCTTTCACAGAGAAATGATCACCTCAGAGATGGAGCGTGAGCCTGAGCTGGACGGCTCGCTGATTGCCCAGTCAGAGAGGCAGGTCTTTAATAAGGATTTTAAAACCTGAGAGACTTTAAAAAAAAATCGTATTTTTAAGAAAAATGTTTTTTTTTCTGGCTCAGAAATTTGGGGGTGTCAGTGTCGGGGAATTAATGGGGATTAGGCGTGGGGTGAATGGTGAACGTGTTGAGGTATGAGAATCTTCACTGGGTTTATGTGTGTGTTGGGTTGTGCATGTGTGCGGGGATGGGAGGGAATGTGTATGGGATGTGTGTGTGTGTCTGGGTGTGGGGGGCGCATGTGTAGGGGGGATGTGAGTGTGTGGGAGGTTGTGTGCGGGAGTGTGTGTGTGAGGTGTACAAGTGTGTGTGTGAGTATATCAGTGTGTGTGTGTGAGTATATCTGTGTGAATGTGTTCATCAGTGTGTGTGAGTATATCAGTGTGTGTATATATCAGTGTGTGTGTGTGAATATATCTGTGTGTGTGTGTTCATCAGTGTGTGTGAGTATATCAGTGTGTGTGAGTATATCAGTGTGTGTGTGTGTGTGTGTATATCAGTATGTGTGTGAGTATATCAGTGTGTGTGTGAGTATATCAGTGTGTGTGTGTGTGAGTATATCAGTGTGTGTGTGTGAGTATATCAGTGTGTGTGTGTGAGTATATCAGTGTGTGTGTGTGAGTATATCTGTGTGTGTGTGTGTGTGTGAGTATAAGGTGTGTGTGTGTGAGTGTATCAGTGTGTGTGTGTGAGTATATCGGTGTGTGTGTGTGTGAGTGTATCAGTGTGTGTGTGTGTGTGAGTATATCAGTGTGTGTGTGTGTGAGTATATCAGTGTGTGTGTGTGTGTGAGTATATCAGTGTGTGTGTGTGTGAGTATATCAGTGTGTGTGTGTGTGTGTGTGAGTATATCGGTGTGTGTGTGAGTATATCGGTGTGTGTGTGTGTGTGAGTATATCGGTGTGTGTGTGTGTGTGTGTGAGTATATCAGTGTGTGTGTGTGGGTGGGGGTGTGGGGAGAGTGAATGCAGGAGACTGAGATTAACCATTTGCTCTGTGATGGTTGTGAGGATTGGTTGATCAGTCTGACCTCAGCGATACCAGGAGACGTTCCTGTGTGTAAGAGTGCCTTTGCTGCTTAACAATAAGCACTTAACAGTGAATCCCCCAGAGAGCAGCTGTCGGCTGATCTGAGTGTTTTGCGGTACTGTCTCCTAAATAAAAAGTACATGTGACGGAATGAAATCCCTTTTGCTGATCACAGTAAAGAATATCAATTTGTATTGTGTATCAGACAGTGAAGGACTTCCTGTGTCTGTGACAATGGTGTCATCTCCTCCTCTATATCACTGATGCTCCAATCGCTCGTGCAGACAGCGAGCCACCTTAATGCGCTTTTAACATCCTTAATCCATGACTTACTGGAAAAGAGTAGCTCAAATCCCTTGCTTGTGTTTCCAGCGTTTGTAATAAACTCCAGCCACAGGCTGCTGGAGGTGCTGTTCAAGGTGACGTGCAACATGTCTGATCCACTGAATGTTCCCAGCAACCGAGAGGAGCTGTCTTTCCCATCAAAAATCTGCAGGTGCAAGAAGACAAGACACGGTTATAGGAACCACAGCAACTAGTTCTCATACCTTTGGCAGAGAATGACTGTCTTGAAGTACTTCACTGATCAAGGGAAGGGAAGGAGAATGGAAAGATTTAAGTCCTGACCGTGGTTAAAAGAAAGAATTTCTAAGGCTTTTGGTGGACACTCAGCGAGGTGGTGGGACAGAGGAAGCGAGAAACAAGCTGGATAACAGAATTGGAAGAGAGGAGGGCACAGGTGGGGAGGAGAGCAGAGGGAAAGGAGACTGAGGAAGTAGGGAGAGAGAGAGGGAGGGAAGGGAGGGAGAGAGGAAAGAGAGGGCTACAGCTATCTAGAGACTTGTCAGGGAGCAAATGGCATCATCACCACACAGCTACCTGAAAACCATGTTTATTAGAACCACAGCAGAGGGCAGAGCGCTGTGGGTTACACACTCTCTTTCCCTCTCCGTGCCCGTGGTCAGAAACTCGCTGCAAGTGATGGGACAACATCAACAACTTGCATTTATATAGCTCTCTTCATGCGGGGTAGCATCCCAGAGCGCTTGACAGTGGTGAAGTCTGACACTGAGCCAGGAGGACGATGACCACTGGTGGTTCTGTATGAAATCTTCTGGACATGTTTTAACCCCGTTCTTATCAGTGCTTACACAAGTCACAAAACTGAGCTTAAATCAACGTTAGCCATGAGGATTTGATATAGCGGACATTAATAAACCATTTCCATTTGAATCCAAAATGAGGGACATAAATCTAAGCTCGCCAGTACCAGATCTGACAGGGAGTTTAGAAGGAACTTCTTGACACAGAGGATGTTGAGGGTGTGGAACATACTGCTGGATTGCGATCGAGGCATAAAGTACCAAACGTATTTAAATGGAAAATCAATGCATACAAGAAAGAGAACAGAATACGAGAGGGAAATAGGAGGGGTGGAGGCCCTATGGAATATAAACACAGGCAAAGATTAGCTTGGCCTATTTTCCTGCCATGTCTCTGTACGCCTCGAATTTCTGGAACTCCCTTCGTCATTCCTTCCGTCTTGCCCCCTCTTTGCCCTTCATCAAATCACACCTGATAACTTTCCCCTTTGACTGTTCCTCCAGTCACTTCTCCTCCCATTCCAGCTCGGAGTCAAACCACACCGCTGTTAAGTGCTACGAGACACCAACTATGTGAAGGGCGCTATGAGGTAAAACTCACATAAGTGGTATCAATTGGGACCATACCATTTAATATGACTTAATTGAAGTCCGAGTTATACGCAAACTGTATAAGGCGTATAAAATCTGATTTAATCAATAATCTACACTGCACATGAGTAGCGTGGAGGGGCCTTTGACAACCGACAGAGGAGATAAAGTTACAATTTAACTTTATCTTGAATTTAAATTAAAAAAACACAATGGTGTGGCATTCCTTCAAACCATGGACTATCTCCCCGTCATTACGTGATTAATCACAGGGCAGGATTTAGCTTCCAATTTCCTTCTTTTCAAACTGCACCTGGTTTAACTGTAACCAAACTGCTGGCAGTGACACGTGGTGAATAATTACCTGTGTAATTGCAGTGATTAATGTTTCCAAGTGATTATTCATACATCCTGCTCAAAGTCACCTGCTTGACAAAGCTTCAGGAAGATTGGCCTAGTTACCACTGTCCAGTCAGTGTGTTCTCAGTTGCCCTGACACTGGGGATTGTGATCATTTACCCCACCCACCCAGTGTGAGTGGCGGGTCACGCTCACTACTCATTGCGCTCACATCAATCACTCATCCGGTGAAAGCTACTCTGCTGTTTACTCCCTGCTCTTCACCACCCACCAACCCGTGATTGATCCCAGACCTGTGTCAGAATTACAAGGAGAAGTTTCCATGTGTTGAGCAACAGCCAGTTGTTTCCAGCAGCTTTTTTTTTGGTCAGCCGGGTGTCTGACACATGTGGAATCCCATCACCGTTGCTTAAAAGTCTCCAAACCAAACTGAGAATTCCATGAATCCCAACTACACATGGAAATTCCAGATGTTTATTGGAATGGAATGTGCACTCTCTCCCTGGAGGGACACATCCTGCTTACCTAATTCTGGAGAGCATTAGGCTCAGGTTGGCAAGAGCGAAGGCTTGGGGACGCCAGAGTGTACGCTCCTGTAACTGCTGGTTTCTAACCAGCTAAAACCACATAGCTTGACATTGAGAGCACTGTCTGGCAAGTTTCCTGCTACTTGTCCAGCTAGCAGCACCCTACCTGTTAGGACTTTGCTTGCAGGGTTAAAGGAAGCTGAGTCGGAGGATTCTCTGCCTCCAGTGACTGGTCTCCCCTTCCAGGTCCTGTCGATGAGCCAGGCTGACTGTGCTGTCATGAGCAGTGCCCTGGAGTGCTGCAGACCCACCCAGCTCAAGAACTAGATGAGAGGCCGAACCAGAGGGCTGGCTCAATTCTGACATTCTGTAGCCAAACATGTCACCTTGGAGCCAGTTCAGACCCCACTTACCTCCTCCCTACCCTCCCCACCCACACACACCTGGAGGCTGCTGCTGAGTTTATTTAACCATGTCAACAAGGCTCTCCCAAGCTTTGCAGTAAAAGAGGTGACATGATTATGATGACAGCACATTGTCCAGTGAGCTCTGTCCTTAAAGCAGTATATCTCTTTCTATCTATCTATTACATACTAATAAAACGACAATGTCTGTCTGCGCTTCAAGAAGGATCTCAATAAACGATTGATGTAGAGACATGATGTATACCTCATTGGAAAGTTCTTGTATCTGGGAGTGATATGGGCATATTTGTTTTAGGTATCTCCTATCGCTCATGAGTTCTTTTCAGTTTTGCGTTTTTCCCTGTTGTTACATGTGGTGGCCACCGAGTCGAAGTGGCCCTGTGGCATCGTGTGTCACAGAGCACCTAACAGTAATTTTTGCATTTGACACAGCACCTTATCACGTCTTTGAGACGTCTCAAAATGCTTCACAGAATGTACTGTAAAGTGAATTGACTGAATATTTGTGGGCAAAACACAGCAGTGGCCTGTGTATGTACACACACCCTGCAGTTACACCTGGTGGCTGCACCGGCTGACTGTGGCGCTGTGGCCTCCTGTGTCACGCACGTAGCCAAGCGGCGGGAACAAAATAAACAACACCAACAAAGCTAAGCCACGGCAACAACAACACAATTACATTTTTAAAACGCCGAGTCCTCCCATTAAATCCCCCCAAAAGGAGTCCTCCCACTGCGTCCTCCCAGATGAGTATAGAGTGGAATCCTGTAGCTCAGTGGTTAGAGCACTCGCCTTGCAAGCGAGAGACCTGGGTTTGATTCCCGGCAGGGCGAAACCTTGGGCAAGTTTCCTTACTCCACACAGAGCCTAATAATAATCCCTCAAGAAAAAAAACAATAAAAAATTGGTCACTTCAATCCATGACTGTTTGTGGGACGCTGCTGTGCGCAGTTCGCTGCCGCGTTTCACCCACAAAATATACAGTCAATTCACCTTACAATATATTCAGTGAAGTGCTTTGAGACATCGAGAAGATGTGAAAACTGCTATATCAAATGCAAGGATTATTAGTAGTAGTATTATAAAGATGAAATATATATATTAATCTTTGCATTCGATACAGCACCCTTCACACCAGGAGAATATCTCCAAGCGCTTCTCAGGATTTCCTGTCAAGTGTAGTGACTATGGTTTGTAGGCTGTTAGCTGATCCCTACTCCAGGTACAGCAATCAGTGATGAGGGATGTAGTTATAAGCTAGACACAAGAGTAAAAGGAGAGCTCAGGAGAAAGTTTTTCACTCAGAGAGTTATTGGGTGGAAATGTCCTGCTGAGTAAAGTGGAAAAGGTAGAGTCCATCGCGGATTTCCAGAGAGAAGTATGAGAGGGTTATGAGAGATAAAGGCTTAAGGGGATATGGGGATAGGGCAGGGGAATGGGATTGAATGGACAGATTGCTCTGAGATCTAGTACAGACTCGATGGACCAAATGGCCTCCTTCTGTGATATAAGTTTCTAGGATTCTATGAACTTGCTTATGTTTGGGCAGTAATTCCCTGTGAAGGAGGTTGAGATGTTACAGCGATGATCAGGTGCTGATTGGGCAACAGGTTCTTTCCTTGTTAGTTACTCTGCTAAGGTTTGCTCTCAGGTCAGATTTACCTTCAGAATATCTCCCTGCTGCAGATTGAAGGTCCTGGTTTTGAGCTGGATGCCTTTGCCCGGTTGAGTGTGAATGAAGTAGATACACTCATGGTTGTTGCTGTAGTTGGCTGGGTAGTTGGGTGACAGCAGGATCCCTTCGTTTCCCGTCACCGAGGCCCCACATTCAGCTGAAGAACAGAAGCAAATAAACATTTGGGAACACAAGTATCAACCGGTCCAAGATTGTTCATCGTAATAATAAAATAATAATAATCCTTGCATTTGATACAGCAACTTATCACATCTTGAAGATGCTATGTTTGCAGATGACACCAAGCTAATGAAAGTGGTAGATTGTAAAGCTGAACAAGATCAATTACAGCAGGATTTGAACATACTTGGGAATCAGGCAGATTGGTGGCAGATGAAATTCAATGTGGAGAAATGTAAAGCACTTCACATGGGGACAACACATCCTGGAAGGGACTATTATTTGAATGGAAGGAAAATAATATGTATGGAAAATCAGGGGTTCCTGATTGACAATAAATTGAAGCTCTTGCAACAAACAATGTTCTGTATCAGCGAGTAAAGCAAACTAAATGTTGGTATATATCAAAAGATCAATAGCAGCCAAAATAGTGGGGTAATCCTGCCACTGTATAAATCATTCATGAGACCATACTTAGAGACTGTGTACAGTTCTGGTCATCACGGTACAAAAATGATATTGAAGAAATTGAGAAGATACAGAGGAGAACAACCAAAATAATTGAGGAATGGAAGGACCTGATTGTGAGGAGCGACTAAAAAAATTGGGCATGTTCACACTGGAAAAAAGAAGATTGAGAGGCGAAGTGATTGCTGTCTTTAAGGAAAGGGGCAAAACAAAGAGGCAAAACAATATAGATCAGGACAGGCTGTTTCAACTTGTCCAGAATAGTAAAACCAAAGGACACGGCCAGCGATTGAAGAGAGTAAATTCAGAACGAATCTACGCAAACAAAGTGAGTGAACAGTGAATCTGTGGAACAGCTCCCTAGGGAGACGGTTGAAGCAGTAAATGTTGATTCTTTCAAACACAAATTAGATTGTTTTCTTTTAGGAAATAACATTATAGGATATAGTACAGAGGGAGTTTGGGACATATGTGCAAGCGACCATCGGGAAGGTGGAAGGCAAACTAGATGGACCTTGGTCTTTTTTCGTCCAGCATTTCTTATGTTCTTATGTTTCAAAGGACATCACAGAATATACTGTGAAGTGGATTGACTGCGTATTTTGTGAGCGACAGCCAATTCCGCACAGCAATATCCCACAAACGGTCGTGGATTGAGTGACCAAATTATTATTATTTTTTTAAAAATGTGTAAAAAAACAACAATTTACATTCATACAGTACCTTTCGCGTCAGAAGAACGTCTCAAAGTGCTCAAGTTGGCTGGCAGCCAGAGCTAAGGGAGGGGAAAGGTGATGGGAAATGCAGTTAAAGTGACATGTTGTAAGGTGTTATTTTTAGGCTGGGAGGGAGGAGGTGTGGCAGAGAGAATCTGTGATGGAGTTCCAGGGGGAGGAATTACTTAATTGTTGATTACTGAGCACTTGTGAAATAAATATATGAACTAATTAGGCATTGGCTGATTACTACAAACCATACAAATCATAGAGAAAGAGAGTACAAGAGTAAGAACAAAAGTAAGAGAGAGAGAGTGAGAGCAAGTGTATGAGGAAATGAGAGTAGAAGGAGAGAGAAAGACAGAGAAAGTGAGCAAATGCAAGCAAGAAAGAGAGCGAGAGCAGAACAAGAGCACGAGAGAGCAAAGCGAGAGACAGAGTATCTGTCCCACACAGTATCTGCCAAGATACCCAATAATTGTGCCTCGCCCTCCGGACAGGTGAAGGAGTTGAACAGCCTGACTGACATTGCCAGGCATGAACCAAATCAAATCTGTATTCTTAATTGGGCCATTGGAAAGGTTTCATTCAATTCAGGCTTTCACCATTCATGTCACAAGTGTGCCTGGATGCTGCTTGTAATAAAAGCATGTTTATAACTTACAAAAACTCAAATTAACTAACGCACAGGATGCCTGAAATCTCACCGAGTCCTTTAATTCAGGTTTAGTTAGAAGGCCAGCCGTTCTTTTTAAGAACGGTAAAAATATATTTTCACATTAAGGCTGAACTGAAAAACTGTCCCGTGTGAATAATAATAATAATCCTTGCTTTCGCTGCAGCGCATTTCACACCAGAAGCATATCTCCAAGCACTTCTAAGGATCTGCTGTGAGGAGTAGTGACTGTGTATTTTGTAAGCAATCCTGTGTGGCCATCTTAAATCATATGCAAAAAGATATCACAGGCTGAGACTAGGCGGAATTTCAAGTCTGTAGTTCCTTCAACCCTCTGTATTTATACATATTTTTTTCCTCTGGTGATAAATTAATGATTGAGAATTCAACATCAAACATTTGATAGACTCTTTCATATAGAGAGAAAATTCATGATTTAAAAACGCTTGTCTGGGTCTCATAGATTTAAGAATCCCAACCTTGTTTAAAAAAAACTGTTAAGTGACTATAATTGAATAATTGATGATTGCCAGTTAATTGCTGATGCAGTGAATCCTTTGTCAATACTTTGTGTCAGTGCTGAGCTATTCCAGAGCTGTAACAGTTAAGTCTCTATAATGCGCCTAATTTGTCTTTCAACGATGGTCACGTATGTGGAAGGCTTAGTGCAAAGGAGTGACTGTTAAACGATAATGTCACGGTGTCAGCCTGGCTCAGGGTAATGCTCTCGCTCCAGTGCAGTGCTGAGAGAGCGCTGCATTGCCTGAGATGCTGTCCTTCAAATGAGACGTTAAACTAGGTGCTGCCTGCCTGTTCAGGTGGATGTTAAAGACCCTATGGCTCTATTTAAAGAGAAGGGAGTTTCTCTCTCCCGGTGTCCTGACCTACAATCCCCCAGATAAAATCCGCAATTCACTTCCAGCTGTTCATGATGCTTTGTTTATGATGCCTGATACCTCGATTCCAGGACCTCAACTGCCCTGAATAAGCATTGACTTTCTCTAGTTGAATGTCAACAAGACAGAGGTCCTCCTGCTTGACTCCCGTCAGCACCTTCTCACCTCAGACGCTGACAGGATCATGGACGCATACTCTACTTTGTGGATATAGCGCAAGACTTTGTTGTCTAGTTTGACTCCCAACTGTCCTTGAAACCAAACTTTCTGCTCTGACCTGCTCAGACACCGAAATATTGCTCACCTGGACCACTACTACCCTCAGGTTATGGAAACCCGAATCCATGCGCTTATTGCATTGAAACTCGACTGTGTCAACTCTCTACTCTCCGGACTACCCAACTCCTCCCTTGGGAAGCTGTAGAACATCCAGAGTCCTGAGGCTTGTGTCCTTTCCCACATCAGGCTCCACAAGACCATCAGCACCATCCTCACCCATGTCCATTAGCTCCCCATCTGGTTATGGTTAATCTATACAAAACACTGGTTAGGCCTCAGCTGGAGTACTGCGTCCAGTTCTGGGCACCTTACCTCAGGAAGGATATTAAGGCACTGGAAGGGTGCAGAGGAGATTCACGAGAATGATACCAGGAATGGGGAACCTTAGCTATGAGGACAGGCTGGAGAAGTTAGGACTTTTTCCATTAGAGCAGAGAAGGTTACGCGGGGACCTGATAGAGGTCTTCAAGATCATGAAAGGTTTCGACAGGCGAGATAGGGAAAAGCTGTTTCCGTTGGTAGGTGTGTCTGTGACTCGTGGTCACAGTCTTAAGATATCTACCAAAAGAAGCAGAGAAGTTAGAAGAAATGTTTTCACTCAGCGAGTTGTTAGAATTTGGAATGATCCGCCCGAAAGGGCAGTGAAGTCCGATTTGATAACAGCTTTTAAGAAAGAACTGGACAGGTATCTGGAGAAGACAGGTTTGCAGGGTTATGGGGAGAAAGCTGGTGAGTGGGGTTAATAAAAGTCAGTTGCTCTGTCAAAGAGCCGCACAGACTCGATGGGCCGAATGGCCTCCTTCTGTGCCGTAACATTCTATGAATCTATAAATCTATGAATCTCCCAGCTGATCTACCGTCCTCGGTCATTCTCCTCCACAACTCCCGATTCCCTCGATTCCCTTGCTCCCCTCACTTCCCGAACCGTTTTCTACTAATGAAAGTCACCAAGGTACACAAACCACCTCCACTCCCTAAGGTACAGGTGCATGCTGCTGAATACACCTGGCTTAAATCCAACCTAACGGTACATTGGCAGATCTGACTGGACCTTATCAAATCTTACTGCTCCGCCCTCGCCTCCATTAAATCGTCGATTACTCCAAGAAACGTACAACCCCAGGTTCCTCTTCTCCATCACCAACCGGCTCCTCCACCTACCCTCTTGTGCTTTACCCATCCTCACCTCCGATGCTGGACTTCCTCAAATCCAAAGTCGAGGGGATCGGCTCAGCCGCTTCTACCCTTCTGTCTACTATCCACTCCCCATTCCTCTCTCCACACCTTTGAACCTGTCTCCCACTCCTCTCTCACCAACACTATAACCCGCATGAAACCGACCACCTGCTCCCTCGCCCCCATACCTTCCCCTCTCCTTACCTCCCAGCTCCATCTCCTTGCTCCTCTACTCATAGACATGATAAACCTCTCCCTGTCCACTGGTACCGTTCCCACCCCTTTAAAAACAGCCGTCATCACTCCAATCCTTAAAAAACCCTCCCTGGACCCATTCCTACTCTCAAATTACTGCCCCATCTCCAACCTCCCTTTCCATTCCAAGATCCTGGAACGAGTTGTTGCTTCTCAGCTTTGCTCCTTCCTCTACCGCCACTCCCCTCACGAATCCCTCCAATCAGGTTTCTGTGCCGCCCACAGCACTGAAATAGCCCTGGTCAAAGTGACAAATTACATTCTGTCCATCTGCGACCAGGGCTCCCTATGCCTCCTCATCCTCCTTGACCTCTCTGCTTGACACCATTGACCACTCTATTCTCATCCACTGCCTCTCCTCTCACCGCAACCTTCACTGCTCTGTCCTTGAATGGTTCAGATCGTACCTCTCACATCGTTTCCACTTCATCTCCACAAACGTTGTTCCTCCAGTCCCCGCACCATCTTATGGCATTCCTCAGGGCTCTGTCCTTGGTCCCCTCCTCTTCAATATCTATATGCTCCCTTTTGGTGACATCATCCACAGACATGGGGTCATGTCTATTCCACATGTATGCGGATGACACCCAACTCTATCTCTCTACCTCCCCCTTGACTCCAAAAACATTCCTGTCCTGGCAGAATGTCTGTCAGACCTCAAGTACTGGATGAGAGCCTCAACCCTCAACTATCCTTTCTACCCCACATCCGTGCCATGACCCTCTCTGCCTTCCCCCACCTCCACAACATCGCCTGGCTCTGACACTGTCTCACACCGCAGGCCACCAAAACCCTCATATACGCATTCAAACATGCAGGCTTGACTATGCAAAGTCCCTGCTTGTCAGCCTCCCCAACTCTTCCCTCCAATAGGCTGCAGATCATCCAAAACTCTGCAGCCCATACCCTCTCCCGCACCAGGCTCTATGACCCTATCACCCCCATCTTCGCCCGACTCCACTGGCTTCCCATCACACAGAGGATACAGTTCAAGATCCTGGTCCTCACCTTCAAAGTCCTTAATGGCCTTACTCCCATCTACTTCTGCAAACTCCTAACCCCCTACCAACCTGCCCACTCCCTCCTCTCAGTGAGTTCCAGCCTGCTTCTTGTGCCCCGCCTCACCCACCCCACAATTGATAGGTGGGCCTTCAGCCACTTTGCCCACACCCTCTAGAACTCCATCCCACAGTCCTTCCGCCTCACCCCTTCCCTTCACTCCTTCAAGACCCATCTCAAGACCCCCCTCTTCGACCGTGTTTTTGATCACCCTCCTTCCCCCCCCTACTCTCCACCCTCCCCAATTACAACTCCCAGCTCGGGTCAGAAACATTGATTGTCCAGGCGCCTTGGGACGTCCTCCTGATATGAAAGGTGCTTACAACGTGTAATTTTGCTGTTGTTGATGGAGTTCAAGACCCTCATCCTCATCTTTAAATCCCACCATGGTCTCGCCCCCACCCTACCTCTATGACCTCCACAAACCGAAGCAACCTGATTACTCCATTCTGCTCCATCTTCGCTGCTATATCAAACGTAAGCATTATTGTTCATTATCATTGTAACTCACTCTGCTGATGGGTGTTAGGTTGGGTCTCCAGATTACTGCTGGGAGGGTGATTGTCACAGTGAAGAGAGATTTCCCTCCCCAACCTCTCCTCGCTCTCCTCCCCTCCCTCCCTCTCCTTCCCCCCTCCCTAACCTCTCCTCCCCATTCCTCTACCCTCCTCCCCCACCTCTCTTAAGTCAAAAATGTACTAAAAACTTCAAAGCAATTTGCAAAACATTAAGGAAATAATGTTGGCATTGCGGAGGCTGATTTTGGCAGTCACTTACACATGGAACACTGATGTTAAATCAATTTTTTTTACAAAAAATGGTAATTATGGGCACTTAGATGGTATTTTTATTCCAAGAGAAAATGTCCAAACAGCTTGTTTGTTGTGATGCAATAAAACCCTGCTGTGTTGCGAGTGAGCTTGGTTACAACCTGGATTATAGGGAATGGGAGGAAGAGAATTTTGCGCGATTTTTTAACACGATTTCTTAATTAAGATCCATACGTTTGTCACATAAATTCAGCTGGCTCAATGCCATATTCTGTAGTCTCTGTTCATTAGGTTTTGTGACGATTTCATCTGATTCTTTGTATTCACCCTTTGATCCCCATCCCCCTGCTCTGTGCTAAAATGACAAGCTCAGAGGGCTGACAGGAGACATTTCCTAGGACACTGGCAATGCCACGCTGCGAGCAGTAGGGTATTACCCCAAATCCTTACCAAACAGAGACTCCCAAACAACTCTTCATTCTGAGCCTCTGAAGAGTGGGCTCAGCCGGTGGGCAATCACAAGTGCAATGCTGCACTGGAGAGTTTGCGGCATGGTGCATGGTTGCTATAACACATTGTGAAGGCCAGCCAGCATTGTGCCAGTGGTAACGAGAAATAGTCATTAGTTTTACCATTGCTGTGGCTTTCCAGCAAAGTATGGGGCTATGTCCAGAAGTTTGTCCGCTGGCAGATAGATACCTTGGTCCAGTTATACACACACTTCCCGAACTAAGTACAGATTTCAACCCAAGTGAAATTAAAGCACGTGACCACCTACCAACACACCTTGGAAGAGGCGAACTCCACACACGCCGTCTACCTCCAAGGCAGGTAATCCTGGACACGCCCTCTAGTCTGTATCCGGGGAAACACGAGAAGCTCAGGGTGTCCCCCACTCTGAAACGGAGGCCGCTCCGGCTGCTGTAGGCTGGAATACCCGGGTCATCGCACGGCTCCAGATCGTATTCTACAGGAAACAACACTTTGTCAGTCGTTCACAACAGCAAAAAGATGAAACAAATTACACTTGACAGAAGACCAAAACCACTTGGTTTAATTGGTATCAGCGGGCCACAGATGTATTCAAGAAATTCAGTCAAGGATGGAGCTCCAATTCAGTACTTGGGGAGGGGGCAGTGGGGTGGGAGGGGGGCAGTGGGGTGGGAGGGGGGATAGGAGCAGTAGAGGGGGCAGTGGGGAGATGGGGGCAGTGGAAGAGCGCTGTACTGTCAGAAGAGCCATCCTTCAGATAAGTCATTAAACCATGTTGAGGTCTGTGCAACGTCTGTGCAGGTTGAGGTGGATGTTAAAGGCTCATGGCACTATTCAACAACAAAACATTGCAACTTTACAGCTTCTTGTTGGGAGGACATCCCAAGGTGCTGGCAGGGAAGGGTTTGCATCTGAGCTGGGGGTTGGAATCAAGAGGGGTGGTGGGCAAGGGGAATGGGGGTGGGAAGATGATCGAAAGTACAGTTGAAGAGGAAAGTCTTGAGACAGGACTTGACGGAGGCAAGGGAGGAGGCGAGGCGGAGGGGTTCTGGGATGTTTCTCTGCAAAGGAAGTCTCTCCCGAAATTCTGGCCAACCATCCCCAAATAAAATCAGTCATTCTGTTTGACTGTTTATGGGACATAGCTGTGCACAAATTGGCTCCCGCGTTTGTCTACAAAACACAGTCACTACACTTGACAGCAATTTGCAGTCTTGTGTTGTGAGATGTTTTTACATTATAGGCTATATCAAGTGAAAAAAATATTATTAGTAATATTAATTATTGCACATAAATGTTACAATCAAACAATGGGACATCAGTACAATTGGAATAAAATTGCAGCAAAGCAAAGGAATGTTCATTACAAGTTAAAGGATTTAATATCAGCATATTTTACAAGAAAGCAATATAAATAATAACTCTAACCCATATTCTAAGATTGTAATCTCAATAATGAATCTGGATTAATCAGGCGTATTAAACTCCAGCTGTGTTTATCTCCAGGTACATCTATCTGTGCTGAATCTTAGATCAGTTTTGCAACATCGCATTGATCTGAAACCTTAGACTGAGTCATGCAGCTCATAACATTCACTTCAATCAGGGGCAAAAGTCATCTGCTTCAAGCTACATGGTATTAGGGTAAATGGAACAAGGAGAGAGGAGAGGGGAGCAAGAAGAGGGAAGAGAGGAGAACGAGGAGAAGGGGATAGCCGGAAGAGGGAAGAGCAGGGACTCGAAATTCAATGCCAAATTAAAGCTCTGCGCAAACCGACTGAAAATCCAAACTCTGAGGAATTGACTGAAACCCCAGTGAAACGCAGAGACCCTTAAATCAAACCCACACAAGAGACATAAGGATTGGTATACCTGTAAACGTTATGTTGAATCCCTCGTATGACATGGAGAAGTCTGAAATAAATCGGATCTGTGCAGAATAATTCCCGAAGAGACCAGCGCTGACCAAAGGTGGTAAGTTAGATCCCGTGAGTCTTTTCAGAGGCTGGCTAAAGCTTCCATTCTCAGTGAGCAGTAAATAGTCGTGAGGGCTCTCCAGGTGAAAAGTATGGAATGTGAACTGGGCTCCTTCAGTTAATTTCAAATAATAAAAAGAGAGAGAGAGAGACAGAGGTTAGAGGTTTCAAATCCACACAGAGCAGGTCTAGCAAGCAGAGAGTAGGCCAGTCTCCAATGTACCTCTGAGTTTCTCTGAAGTTTACCTTCCTGCCTGTTAATGTGTGTAAATTGGCTGCCACACACAAAACACAGTTACTAAACACTTGAATCACTGAATCAGATAAAGCACTTTGACGTCCTCCTGATGTCAAAGGCGTGGTATTAAATGCAAGAGTTCACAATAATTATGAACAATAACTATTATTAGTAATTATTTGTTATTATTAATATTAATAGTCAATAATAATAACTATTAATAACAATAATGTTCAAAAGTAAAGTCAGGAAGAGCAATACTGGTTAGAGTAATGCGATTTCCACTGTTTTTAAACACATACAAATAAAGAGGAAGATATGAAAGGGAAAGTACAGTTCAACAGGAACCAGTTTTTAAATGAGAAAATCGGTTATAAGCGGTAGATAATTATTTGGAGAGGACAAGTTTGCAGGGCTATGAAGAGGGAGCGGGGGATGGGATTGATTTGTAAGCGCTTTTCAAAGAGCCGGTACAGACACGATGGGCCGAATGGCCTCCTTTTGTGCTGTATAATTTCTATGATTCTATGTAACAAAGGGCATACATTGCAATAGTAAGTGTGGTCTGTGGGTCACATGGAGCTCTCCTTCCCACCCCCCAACTCTCACTTTCCAGTCTTAAACATTAACTTTTGGAGGGAATTTGTAAATTGTCATATTTCATAACAGATTTGTTTTGAAGGGATTATTACCCCCGGAAAAGTGACCGGTCCATTTGACTAACAACCGGGTTCCAATTTACTGCTAAGTAAACAGAGCCCCGTGGATTAAGGGAACTTGCCTAAGGTTTTGCCCTGCCCAGGAATTGAACTCGGGTGCTCTCGCTTGCGAGGCGAGTGCTCTAAGCGAGGGGTGGGCGGGTGGGGGCGGGGCGGGGTGAGGAGAGCGAGGGGCAGTGTCAGAGGATAATTTTTTTTTAAAAAAACAGCGGGAAACTTAAAAAGTGACGTCAGAGCGATGTCAGTATCAACAGTAAACTAACAACTATCAACACATCGCACACCACGGACTTACCTTGATTGGTTTAAGTTAACTTGATCAACTTAATTGGATCACCTTGAATGACTTAAAACTTAATTAACTTAACCTAATTAACTTAATCAACTTAAGTTGATTGACTTACTCAAGTTGGAAGAGGTGACAATGGCCTGGCAGGTGTTATGTGAGGAGTGTGACATGTGGGAGCTGATGGAGGACAGTCTGACCGCGGGCGACCACATCTGCAGAAGATGTCTGCAACTGAGGCAGCTCCAGCTCAGAGTGTCAGAGTGGCTCAGAGTGTCGGAGTGGCTCAGAGTGTCAGAGCTGGAGTTCGAGGTGCAGACACTACGGAGTATCAGAGTCAGTGAGTGCTTCCTGGATAGCTACATCCTGGAGCCAGTCACTCCCCTGAGGGAATATACAGTCAACATTGGTTATGGTCAGGATAGGTCAATGGACAGTCAGGAGGTCAGGGGGACAACCGAAAGAATGGTAGTAAATCCGGCATTAACCTTGAACAACAGATATGAGATCCTTGGAACTTGTATCGACAAGGAAGCTAGTGAGGGGGCAGGAAAAACAACCTCTAACACTGGGGCAAAAGAGCAGATGATTGTCGTCACTGTGGACGAGACTATTAGGCAGACAGACACAATCATCTGGAACACCAACCAGAAGACCAGAAGGCTTTGTTGCCTCCCTGGGGCCGGGGTGAAGGATGTCTCGGCAGGGCTAGAGGACAATTTAAAATATATGGGCAAGGATCCATTGGTGGTACTTCACATTGGTACCAATGACATCGGTAGAGTGGCCAAGATGACTTGAGAAGGGAATTTGAAGAGCTGGGGTCCAAATTGAAGTCGAGATCATTGAAGGTGGTAATATCGGGAATACTGCCTGTACCATACGACAATTGGTACAGGAACAAACAAATTAAGGACTTGAACGCACGGCTAAAAGAGTGGTGCGGAACTCAGGGGTTTCTTTTTATGGGCCATTGGCACGAGTATTGGGGGAAAAAAGAGCTCTTTCGGAGAAAAGGGCTGCATTTAAATCGTGCTGGGACAAATGTCCTAACTAAACAAATTAACAGGGAAATAAATAGGAATTTAAACTAGTAAAGGGGGGGAAATATATAAGTAAGAGAAACCATAAGTTAGCATTAGAAAAAGTAAAGATAAGCATGCCAGATAATAGGAATATGTTAACGAGGGGTAAGAAGCTTTGGCAAAGTAGACAAGGGATCAGAGAGTAGAGGAAATGGTAGGAAATTAAAAATGTTATATCTGAATGCGCGAAGCATTCAGGATAAAACTGATGAACTAAAGGCACAGATAGACACATATGGGTACGATCTAGTAGCCATCGCGGAAACATGGTTACAAGGAGATCGAGGGAGTTAAATATTCCAGGGTTCTCAGTTTACAGGAAAGAAAGGCACTGTAGGAAAAGAGGTGGGGGGGAGCCCTGTTAATTAGGGACAAAATAAAAGCAGTGGAGAGGAAAGATCTGAAATCCGATGACCAGGAGGTCGAGATAATATGGGTGGAAATAAAAAATAAAAAAGGACAGAAAATATTAATGGGAGTGGTTTATAGAGCCCCAAACAGCGATCACAATATAGCACTGGGTATTAATCAAGAAATCAATGGAGCGTGTACGACAGGTAAAGCGATAATAGTGGGTGATTTCAATCTCCACAGAGAATGGGAAAACTAAATCGGCAAAAGTAGGTCAGAAGAAGAGTTCATTGAGTGTATGAGAGAGAACTTGCTAGAGCAGCTGCCGAGGAACCAACTGGGGACAGGCCATCCTAGACCTTGTTTTGTGTAACGGAACAGGGCGAGTCGGCAGTGTAGGTATTAAGAATCCTCGAGGGCAGAGTGATCACAATATGATTGAATTCTGCATTAAGTTAGAGAGGGATATAGTTAAATCCGAGGCAAGTATTCTGAATTTAAATAGGGCTAATTTTGTAGGTATGAGGAAAGATTTAGGTAAAATAGACTGGAGAATAAGATTAAGAGGTAAAAATGTAGACCAACAGTGGCAAATATTTAAAGATGTAGTGCAAAGTTCTCAGCGGTCGCATATTCCCTTGCGGAATAAGAGTACCACAGGGAAAGCAATTCATCCGTGGCTAACTAGAGCAGTTAGGGAAAGCATCAAATTAAAAGAAAAGGCTTATAAAACTGCCAAGAAAAGCGGCAAATCTGAAGATTGGGAGAGTTTTAGAAACCAGCAAAATAAAACTAAAAAACTCATTGAGAGCAAGAAAAAGGAGTATGAGGGTAAGCGAGCGAGGAACATTAAGTCAGATTGTAGAAGTTTTTACAAATACATTAAGAGGAATAGGCTGTGAGGGTAAATGTAGGTCCACTTCAGCCAGAGACGGGAGAAGTTGACAGAGTCCCTAAATGGGTACTTTGCATCTGTCTTCACCCGAGAAGACACAACCAGTCTGTCAACAATAGAGATGCGCCAAAGGGATAAGGACAGGGAGCAACTTAGGGAAATTTTCATTACTAGAGAATTGGTGCTCGGGAAACTGTTAGCACTAAAAAGTGACAAATCCCCTGGTCCGGATGGTCTGCATCCCAGGGTTTTAAAAGAGGGAGTTTATGAGATAGTGGAGGCCTTGTGTCTGATCTTCCAAAATTCCTCGGATTCTGGAACAGTCCCCATGGATTGGAAGATCGCAAATGTCACGTAAAAGACGTTGAAAGGAAAAGATGGGGAACTATAGGCCACTTAGTCTCACATCAGTGATAGGAAAAATTTTAGAATCATTGATTAAGGATGTGGTAGTGCGGTATTTAGGGCACAATATAATTAGGCCAAGTCAACATGGCTTTACAAAAGGGAAGTCATGTTTGACAAATCTCATAGTTTTTTGAGGACATTTCCAGTAAACTGGATAAGGTGAATCAGTGGATGTGGTCTATTTGGCATTCGATAAGGTGCCGCATAAAAGGTTAGTCCAAAAGATAAGGGCCCATGGAATTGGGGGGAGCATATTAACATGGATTCGGGAATGGTTAACGGGAAGGAAACAAAGAGTAGGGATAAATGGGTCCTTTTCAGATTGGCGGGATGTGACTAGTGGAGTGCCACAAGGATCAGTCCTTGGGCCTCAGCTATTTACCATCTACATCAACGATCTAGATGAGGACATCGAAGCTAATATATCTAAATTCGCGGATGACACAAAACTAGGAGGAAGTGGCAACACAGAGGACGACATTAAAAAAATGCAGCGAGACATAGATAGGTTAGGTGATTGGGCAGGGAGGTGGCAGATGAAGTATAATGTAGGGAAGTGTGAAGTCATCCACCTCGGTCGCAAAAACAGTGGAGCGGGTTATTTTTTAGAAGGGGAGAGATTGGAATGTGTTAGTGTCCAGAGGGACTTGGGTCTCCTTGTACACCAATCACAGAAAGTTAGTCTGCAGGTGCAGCAGCAATTAGGAAGGCAACCGGTATGTTAGCATTCATTATGAAAGGATTAGAGTATAAGAGTAGGGAAGTCTTACTGCAACTGTATAGGGCCCTGTGAGACCACACCTGGAATACTGTGTCCAGTTTTGGTCTCCTCATTTAAGGAAGGATGTACTTGCCTCGGAGGGGGTGCAGTGTAGATTTACTGGGTTAGTACCAGGGATGAAAGGGATGAGTTACGAGGATAGGCTGACCAATTTGGGCCTATATTCTCTAGAATATAGAAGAATTAGAGGGGATCTTATAGAAACCCCCGGTTGGAGAAACTAAAACCAGGGGTCACAACCTTAAAATCAGAGGCAGCCCTTTGGCACTGAGTTGAGGAAGAACTTCTTCACTCAAAGAGCGGTGAATGTATGGAACTCCCTACCCCAAAGGGCTGTTGACGCTCAGTCCTTGAACAAGTGTTCTGTGAAGCGCTTTGGGACGTCCTCCCGACGTGAAAAGCGCTATATCAAATGCAAGGATTATTATTATTATATTCAAGACTGAGATAGATTTCTTATTGCAAAAGGGATTAAGGGATATGGGGATAAGGCAGGGTCAGGTTATTAGCTGGAGTTAGATTAGAAGATCAGCCATGATTGAATGGCGGGGCAGGCTCGAAGGGCCGAATGGCCTACTCCTGCTCCTACATGTTAGGTTTTGTTAACCAGTTTATAGGGAAGCAATGAGGCTGGTGGTTCCTAGCGATGATGTACGTTTATCACACGATAGCTGGGGAAACACCCCTGGCAGATGTTACAGACTTGTTTCAAAACTGCCTTTGAAAGTAATTAACAGCTCAGTTTAGATTACATCACATCGGTTATACACAGGACGAATGCATGTATTGGTAACCACAGCGCTCAACTGGGCAGAGCTTTGGCCAGCTGAACGCTGTCCTGTCAAACTCAATATAAGATGTCCGACTTGGTTAAAGTCACTCTTGTTCCTACAGGTGGTGGAGTGTTAATCAATCACTCATGTCATTGCGGAGTCAGCAACACTGGGAAACTGTAACCAGACTGAAAGAAATATGTCAAATGTAGGCATCAGATCATTGTGTGAACAATGTACTTAAGTATTACACTGTGCTCATCTCACTCTCTCACTTTCAGGTCTTCCAGCACTTTTTTCTCCTCTATATGTCTTATTTTCTCTCTCGCTCCATTGTCTCTTTCTGTCTCTACATGGTGTCTCTATCAGCACCTCCCTTTATTTTGCTCTCTCTCTCTCACTCTCTCTCCAAGCATGTGGGTGTGCATTGCTCTAATCCTGGATCAGATGACTGAATAAGCAATCTCTACCCCACGCTGCTGATTCAGATGCGTATGAAGGGACAACTGGTTATCAAAGAATTATGCAGACATTTCAGTTTCATTTCACATTCAGCACTTCACAGTGTGGCAGCTTTACTAGTCAGCATAGAAGAGCATAAAAGGGGGAAAGTTAGAAGAAATGGTTTTACATTAGAATGGAGAAGGCCTGTGACTGCTGAAGCCAAGTCAATGACATCATTTAAAGGACCCTTAAATAATCAAAGAATAAAAGGATTTGGGGAATGAGCAGGGGAATGGGATTATAGCGCTTCAGTGAGGAGACGGTGCAGTATAGGGACACAGCGTGTGAGTCTAACAATGCTGATGGATTGGGAGCAGGATTATTGTCGCACAGAACCACAGAAATGAACGCAATGGGAGGCCATTTGACCCAATTTTTTTGATGATGGTGTTTGCTCCTCCACAAAAGCTGCTCTTCATCTCAATTGCAATAGGAGATTGTTCAAGAATAGTAAATCAATGGCTTAAAGTTATCAGCAAAGAGGTTTCAGGGAGAATTTTTTCCCCTCCAATCAAAAGTCCACGAAGGACACATGTGACAAATTGAGTTGCCTGTGGAGACGTTAAGTGCTGAACTGTCCACTGCATTTCTCTTTGCAGACGCTGGGAAACACATTGATTGTGAGGAGAGGCTTGATCTATTCAGACAGTTTAGATCAGAAGTACTTTGTGGGGCCCATTGGTTGTTTCAGCTGATGAGCCAGAGGAATGAGCGTAAACTTTGCCAGACAGCTGGCCAGTCACTGAAAACCTCAGAGCTTCTGTGTGGACTCACATTGTGTGCTTGCAATTGCAAATGCAGGAACAGTTCTGTCCAATGAATGTTAACCCTTGGAGCACTGGGGATAGTATCACTCAGCCACAGTGAAGAAACAATGACAAGTTATTCTGCACTCTCACTTTCTGACCTACAGCCTGACCTGTGCCTCCCCTGAGACTCTGGGCTTTTCACTGACTTTTTAAAAAAATGCCACACAATCTCAGGTCTTTTCCTCACGTCATTAACAAAAGTTCTTAATTAAAAAAAAGCCTTTTTGCACTTTCCAAAGTAGATTGCCACAGAAGCAAAGCAGAGGAAGAAAGACATGTGAACACCTTAAGAGTTAAAAATAACTGGGAACAGTGGAAAGGATGATGATTTTTCTTCAGGTTAATTGTAGACACATAGAGTTACAAAGACTTACACAGAGTGTAGACCATTTGGCCCATCTATCTAGTCTGTGATGTGAGCAAAATAAGTGGTCTGTATCTCTGAAATGTTTAACAAACATTTTAGACTTTCTCAACTTCCTAAAACTAAATGTCGTTGCTCAGGGTGATGGTAATACAATGCACAAAAATCAATGGCTGGGACCATATCCTCGCAGTTACCCTTCGGAATACCGCTTCACTGTTACCTTTGCCGTGTGAAGTCTCTATTGTCCAGGTGCAATTCAAGGAATTTCGATAAAAATCGGGAAAACCAGGAGACAGGATTGTACCAGTTGACCCATGGATGTAGCCGCCACACAGAGCTAGCAAAAAAAAATGCAGCATGAGAAGAAGGAAACAACTTGGATTTAAATGTCAAAATGTCACATCGTACTTTACATTAACTCTTGTTTTGACTTTGAGTCCAGAGTCCATTCCAGGACAGTGTAGGGGGAGTGCTGCATTGTCAGAGGTGACGCACTTCAGGTGAGATATTAAAGTGAGGTTAAACCCATCTCTACTTAAATATCTCATGGTGCTATTCTGAAAGAGAAGGGAGCTTCTCCCTCTTAATGTCTTGCCCAACAATCCCCCAGATAAAATGGGTCATGGCTGCGTTTGCCTAAAAATACACAGTCAATCCACTTTACAGTATATCCTGTGAAGCGCTTCGAGACGTCTCATTGTGATACGGTGCTATATCAAATGCAAGGATTATTATTATTATAATTATCATGAAAGGGAGTTGGAAACAGATTCAATAACAACTTTCAAAAGGGAATTGGATGGGTACTTGAACAGTAAAACTTTGCAAGGATATGGGGAAAGAGTGGGTGAGTGGGACTGATTGGGTAGCTCTTCCAAAGAGCTGGCACATGCACGATGGGCCAAATGGCCTCCTTCCGTGCTGTAATATTCTATGATTCTATTATTATTACTATGATTATTATTATTATTATAGCACATGTGGCCCTGACTCAGATTCCTCCTGTCCGAGCTCCTCTCTGTACAGTACCTTCACAGCTAGGCAAAGGGCGGCTCCATTGGTAGTTGGGTTCACAGACAAGAGCCTCATCGTCACTTAAGGTATATCCTGGATCGCAACCGAAGGTGACCGAGGAGCTCACGAAGAAAAGGTTTCCATTGCGCTGGCCATTCACCGGAATTCCCGGGTCCAAACAGGAGTCGGATTGTAGCTTCACACCTGGAACAGCCAAGAGATGAGTGGATCAGGACAGATGGCTATTGGAACACTGCAGGGAGATCCGAGCACCAAACAACAGAGCGAATTAGCCACGGATTAAAGGTGCATCAGCATCAGGGTATCTGCTCAGGGGCACTGGAGCCAGTATAATGAGAATAATCAGTAACACTCCTTATTCTAAAACAACAGGGGATTGCGAGTCCCCTGCAGTCTTTTCAGCAGCACTAAATCTGCAGTTTATTTGTGCCAATGTGCAGATAAAGGCTTCTTAAAGATCACACGGAAGCAAATCTGTCAGTCTGGTGCTGAATGCTAATTCCACTCTGCATGTATCAGTTGTTGCAAATGAGCCCCCTTGCATTTAGAAAGCACCACAACGTTTGCAGAGAAATAACATTGCAGTGTAAAACGTAAGGTGAAAACATCAACAATATTTATAAGTACATTGTACAAGTACAATGTGCAAAGTTGCCATAACTAACAATATTAAATGGAATAATTAAAACTGCCTTTAAGTCAAAGTAAAATCCATGGTGTGAATGGCAGAGGTACAATGTGACTATCTTTATTGCTGTTTTGAAAGTTTTTCTTTGTTTAAAAGAAATGAAAGTGGGGCCTTGCCGAGAAAAACTGTGTGTTCCAGAGAAAATGCTCCTCTCCATCACACACGGACCTCTGCACACACACAGCGGCCTGTTCCTCAACCCTTATGAATCTGCCAGAAAAGCTTCCCAAATCCCCAGCAACATCCCTCCCTTTTAATAAACAGGACGTTTTCTCATGAATGGTTCTGTCCAGAGTCCAAGCTGCAGACTATGTGCCTGGAAATGCATCTGACGAGGATTAGAGTAATCAGTCACCTATAAGGGGCCAATTGTGCATCCGTCTAGAGTGGGGAACCTGCCATCTCCCCCATGTAGATCACAGAAACAATAAGAATCCCACATATCTAATTCTGGCTCAGCAATGAGTCTCACTGCAGGGCGGCTGTGCACAATAATGTTTTCAAGGCAAAAGCAAAGAATGAATTGTTCGTTGAGTTATTATCTGTTAGAGACTCTCACTAGCCCTCCCCCCACCCCACATTCCGCCACCCCCCAACCCCCCCACTATCGGTCGCTCCCTCCGCTCAGCAAACATCAGGCCGTTTCATGTTCCCCCGACTGACCTGCCCCACCATCTCTGAATGAAATTCTGCCCAACTCCCCCCCAGAATCAAAGAATGCTAACTCCCTCTGCCTCCCTCCCACCTTTACTCATCTTTGAAACTCATCTTGGAACCTAATTTCTTGCCACAGTTTTGGTCATCTTTCCCACTCCCATCTCCTCGGTTCTCTTCATCCCCTGCACCCCCCGGCCCCTAGACACACACACACAGCACAGGCTCACAGTCTGATCTGTGAAGTGTTTGGTGACATCCTCCTGATGTGAAAATGTTGTTGTTGTTTCCCCCCTGCAGTGAGGAATGTAACTGAAGTGTTGGACATGACAGTGGAGGGAGGTTGGTGACTTACTCTCGAAGTGGATCTGAAATCCGACATCGGAATGGCTTTTGTCAGTGGAGAAGAGGAGGTAAAGGTAATTGGTGCTGCTCATCAAAAACTGGGGCACCTGTGTCCCGTGATAGACCCCGATCAGAGGCGAGGAATAGAACTTGCCGTCTCTGACCTCCAGAGTGTCGTAATTCACTTCCGTTTTGAACCTGAAATAGGAAAATAACTCTTACATTCCCGCTCCATGCAGTTTGCCACCAGCAACCAATCAGTACCCACAGCAAGACCAACAGCTGCCCGGCTCACTTGCTAACGCTCACACTCCTGAGTCTGATGGTTGTGGGTTCAAGCCCTGCTCTGGGATTCGGAACTTGTAGTCTACGCTGATACTTCATTGTCAGAGGTGCTGTCTTTGGATGTAGAGGTAGTTTCTAACTGGTTTTCAGTGATTGTCAGGCAGCCCAATAACACTGCCACGTGACATGTGAATGGATGTTACTTTTCTAAGTGTGTTTCAGCTTCCTGAAATAGCTACTTATTGCAGGAGGTTGATTTTTTTTTGCACCAGGTATTTTTGGATAGTTATAATAATAAATAGTAATCCTTGCATTTAATAATAATAATAATAATCCTTGCATTTGATATAGCGCTTTTCACGTTGGGAGGACGTCCCAAAGCGCTTCACAGAACACATTGTAAAGTGAATTGACTGTATATTTGTGGGCGAACGCGGCAGCCAATTGCGCACAGCAATGTCCCACAAACAGTCATAGATTGAAAATGACCAATTTATTATTGTTTTGGGTTTTTGGAGGGATTATTATTAGGCTCTGTGTGGAGTAAGGAAACTTGCCCAAGGTTTCGCCCTCTGCCTGGAATTGAACTCAGGTGTCTCGCTTGCAAAGCGAGTGCTCTAAACACTGAGCTACAGGACTCTATTTGAAATAGCGCCTTATCACGTCTTCGAGACTCTCAATGCGCTTCACAGAATATTGTAAATTTAATTGACTGTGTATTTTGTGGGCAAAACCCGGCAGCAAATTGCGCACAACAGTGTCTCACAAAGAATCGTGGATTGAGGGACCAAATTATTACTATTATTTTTTATCCCGGAAAGCGATCCACCAATTGACTGACATAGTCTTTATTAGCTATTATTATTATTATTATTGCAACATAGTGCATTTTGCTTGTGTTCCACCCTTTTCTCTTTCTCCTCACTGAGGTACCAATAACTGGGGTGGAGGCAATGGGATGAGGCTTTGCTGAGATGCTCTTCACGGTCATTAATGTTGTTCTAATAAAAGGTGACAGCTCAGGCAAGGGTGAGATTCAGCCATTAAGAAGGGCTGTTTGGGTGAAGGGAGGTGGTTGGAATCGTATTTCAGTCTTGAATGATCCTCTCCAGGGGCGGGGGGGAGGAGGGCTGAAGGCAGGAGAGGATAACATTCTCAGAACACAAGGTGAGCACATGGTCAGGTGAAGCTTTAAGGTGCGTAAAACAGGTGAAGAGAGGAAGGGGGAAAAAAAAGAGACAAAAGAGAGAGAAAAAACAATAAAACGTGGAATTAAACTGCATAAAAAAGTAATTTTCCAGTAAGTGAGTATGTGTGTCTGTGGTTTGTGTGTGTGGGGCTGGTTGTGAGTGTTTGTGTGTGTGCGTGTGTGGTGAGGTGGTGGGTTGGGGCAGTTGGTGTGTGAGTTTGTGTCTGGAGCTTAACAAAGCGTTCAAATTGGGAACGCAATGACATTTGGAAACCTTTCTCAGCTGTCACTTCGAATTTGACAAACNAAAAACCCAAAGAAATGTGAGGAAAACATCACCACACGTCTGAACCAAAAGCAATGCTGCACAGACAGGATATGGCTCTGGCATTGAGAAGGATCCTGCAGGTCTATGCACATTACCCACAGCATCGTTGAGCACACTTTGTGGAGGTGCATTTACACATCCAGAGAGCAGTGCAGGCCTCACTCACATCCTGTTCGAAAGAATATTTCCCCTGGTTCATCCTTCCTCTCTCTGCTTCTGCCTCTCTACTGGGGTTACAGTCAGCCAGACACTGGGTACCCTCTCGTCCCTCACTTTAGTGTCTGAATTTCACATCTCCATCTTGTAGTCCTGTAGCTCAGTGGTTAGAGCACTCGCCTCGCAAGTGAGACCAAACCTTGGGCAAGTTTCCTTACTCCACACACCTGATAATAATCCCTCCAAAAAAACATTAATAAATTGGTCATTTTCAATCCATTGACTGTTTGTGGGACGCTGCTGTGTGCAATTGGCTGCCGTGTTTCGCCCACAAATATACAGTCAATTCACTTTCCAGTATATTCTGTGAAGCGCTTTGAGACGTCGAGAAGACGTGAAAAGCGCGATATCAAATGCAAGGATTATTATTATTGATAAACTTCACACGTTTGACTGTGTTTACAGTCACCTCCCACCTCGCCCTTCTCTCCCTAGCTCAGCCTCTGACCGTGTGCTTGAGAAGTGCTCACATAAAGGGCACCATATGATTGCAGGCTGCTGTTGCTGTCTACCTCAAAGCACTTTACAATGGGCTCCCGACAGGGGGTGGACGGCAGAGGGTGGTGGGGAGGACAGAGAGGACTGAGAGCGCGGTCATAGAGGTAAGTCTTGAGGAGATCAGAAGAGAATTGATCGGGTGATGAACAAGAGCGGTGCACAAAGTACCTGTCAAAGATGATCTTCACAGGGTATCCAGGCTGGGCCTCAATCACCCATGCGCAGTTCAGGGAATCCTTATAAAACCCCGGCCAGCCCGGGGACAGGATGACCCCGTTCTGAGTAGTCAGGTGACCCCCGCATGGTGCTGTGGGGGGGAAACAAGAAGCAAGAGTCAGAGATTGCAAGGTGCTCAATCACTGCACATGACTCAGTCCCACTCTATGCTCAGTACCATTTTGTCTGTGCAAATACAACAATACAACAACAACTTGCATTTTCACAGCGGCTTTCACATGGGAGAGCATCTCAGAGTGAAGAAATTACAGGGCACAGCATCTGAAATTTGTTTTTTGGTTGCCCGGGCATCTGACACACATGGAAACCCATCACCATGCTTGAGAGTATCCAAACCAGACTGAGAGTTCCACATGGAGGTTTCCCTGTGACTGGAGTGGAATACACACTCTCTCCCCGGAGGGACTCCTGCTCACCTAATTCGAGTGAGTATCAAGCGCAGGTTGACAAGAGCCAAGGCTGGGGAGGGGACCCCAGATTGCGCGCCTCTGGCATTTAAGCAGCTAAACCCACACAGCTTGCCATTGAGAGCATATGATTGGAGGTCAGTCAGTGCATCAGGTCCAAAACTAGCAAGGTTCTCCAGTGACAGCAATTTTCTTCTTTGGTGGGTAACTGAGCCTGGCCAGCGGTATCTCATGGTAAGTTAGTGCCACTGGATTTCAGTGACGAAGGATACAGGCAATGATGACACAAGGTTAATGATATGTAAGAACATGCAATTTGTACAAATGTAATTTTAGTGTGTAAAAAAAAGGGACATACAAATGACACATGGAAAATGCTGGATTAGCCGGAAATCTGAATTGGACCCCTCTGGATTCACACAGTAAATCCCAGCCAGTGCAGGGCTGGTGATTGAGATTCCATGTTGACCTCCCAGGACAGGCCGGTGGGTAAGGAACAGACTGGCCTCAGGGGTAAAAGGCCTCACCTTCACATCGAGGCACAGCGTTGTTCCACACCACATTTCCGTCTTTCAGGACACACGAGATGGTCTCCGATCCGTGAGTCTTGATAAATCCTTCCTCGCAGAGAAAGGACACAGTGCTTCCCAGCTGGAGACTCGTCCCGAAGCGTCTGCCGTTCACAGGCACCCCGGGGTCAGGGCATTCATTGTGTCTGAAAGCTGAAAACACAACAGAGCATCATCACAAGTAGCGTGACCAGTGATCGCACAGAGTACAGCTCTGTGACCTCTGCCAAACAGCCATGATGAGGAGAATTATTCCAGAGGAATGTCAGCCAGGGCACTCGGAAACGTTCCTTTCTCTTCTCAAATCGCGCCGTCTTTAACATCCATCTGAACAGGCAAGCGAGAACTTGTTTTCAGGTCTCATTTAAAGGACGGCGCCGCTGTCAATACTGCGCTCCCCTGACCGAGCGTTACATTAGAGCATCAGTTTAGTCCATGAACTCAAAGACACAACGCTGGGGAGTGAACCCACAGCCTTCTGATAACCACTGAGCCAGGCTGATAAAAAAATGTTTTGGGTTAACTGGGGGTTTGACACATGCGGAAACCAAACATCATGCTCAAGTGTATCCAAATCAAACTGAGAATTCCATGCATCATTGAAATTCCAGATTGTTGAAATGGGACGTCAACTCTCTCCCTGAGGGGACACATCCCGCTTACCTAATTCCGGAAAGTATTAGGCGCAGGTTGGTAAGAGCCAAAGTCTGGGGTCCCCAGAATGTGTTTAGGGGTACCTACTGGAGTCTAACCAGCTAAAACCACATAGCTTGCCATTGAGAGTATAGTTTGGCAAGCTTCCCCGATACACAATGTGCAGCGTTTCCACAGCTCCCAACCATTCAGCAAGGATTACCAGGGCAGCCCTTCTCACACCATCCTCCAGTTATCTTGTTTTATAAAATGCTAACCCAGGCTGGACAAAGACATTTCTCTCCCTGGGAAAGCGCTAATTAGCCTCTCGCTCGCCTCGTTTTCTATATAATCTGTTTCGCTGTCGCTTTTCTCTTCCCCAATATCATTTTCTGATATTCTCATTTCAATTCCAAGTCTTTCCTTAATGATTAATGTCTTTCCTTTCATTCTGTTCCTCCATTGCCAACCTCTCTGATAATGGAGCACTGACCTTCCCCTGAGGGACAGTATGTGAGTGAGGCCCTCTCAATGATCGTTTTCTTGTTCTGACTGCATTATGCGCTCTGTAATCTCCAAAAATTTATGTTCTGAGCTGGGATAAATGCATCAGTTGATGGCACTCTTAATATAACAAAGAAAACCAGGAAAAGAAATGCCATTCAGGAGCTGTCAGTGATTTGTGGAGGGGATTTCAGGCTAATCAAAATAATAATAATTAATAATCTGCATTTTGATACACTGCTAATAACGTCAACATATCCCACAGCTTCATTGGAAATTGCTGTCAAGTGTAGTGACAATATTAAAAATGTAGGCAGCTAATTAGCGCACAGTGATGCCTCACTCAGAGCAAGGAGTGAGTGACCAACTTTATCTGGCGGATTGTCGGTCAGGACACTGGGAGAGAGAAAAACCCTTTTCTTTTTGAGTAGCTCCGTGGGATCTCTTACTCTCTTACGTCCACCTGAACAGGCAGATAGGATTAGTGGCACATATTTCAGTCACAGTGCCTGAGTAGGCAGCATTCTGACTGACTGACTGACTGACTGACTGACTGACTGACTGACTCACTCACTCACTCTCTGTCAGGACACCTGGTGAGATTTGTTACCATTCACTGTGTCACTGTGCCAATGAAGCATCCTCCAACCTGTGTTTCCTTCAACCAAAGTGTAACATTTAAAAGCTTCAAACAACAACATTGCATTTGTACAGCACCTTTCACGTCAGTCGCTGGGCAATCAGTGTTTCAGGCAGGGGGGAAGGAAGGTGACCGAAGGCACGGTCGAAGAGGAGGGTCTTGAGGTGGGTCTTGAAGGAGGCAAGTGAGGGGGCGATACAGAGGGACTGCTGGATGGAGTTTCAGAGGGTACCGGCAGAGCGGCTGATGGTGGGGCGGGTGAAGCAGGGGATGTTAAGCAGGCCAGAGCCCGCTGAGCGGGTGGAGCCGGCAGGTTGGCAGGGGGTTAGGAGGAGGTTAGGAGGTCGCACAGGTCGGGGGGAGCGAGGCCATGGAGGGATTTGAAAGTGAGGACCAGGATCTTGAACTGTATCCTCCGTGTGATGGGAAGCCGGTGGAAGTGGGCGAGGATGGGGGTGATAGGGTCGCTGAGCCTGGTACAGGAGAGGACACAGGCTGCAGAGTTCTGGATGATCTGCACCTATGGAGGGAGGAGTTGGGGGCCGACAAGCAGTGAGTTTGCATAGTATTCAAGCCCGGATGTTATGAATGCGTGTATGAGGCTCTCAGCGGCCTGTGGTGTGAGATAGTGGCGGAGCCGGGCCATGTTGTGGGGGATGTGGGGTATGAAGGACAGTTGAAGGTCGAACAAAATGAGGTTCCATATTGGCTCTGTGAGATGTAGAGTGCATCCATAGAGGGAGGCGCTGATGGGAGCCAAGCAGGAGGGCCTCGGTCTTGTTGACATTCAACTGTAAGAAGTTAGCTTTCTTTCAGAACTTGATGTCTGACAGGCAGTCTGTGAGGGCAGCAGTGGTCCTGCAATTATGGGTGGAGGCAGAGAGGTAAAGTTGAGTGTCGTCCGCATACATGTGGACGTTGACCCCATGTCTGTGGATGATGTTACCAGGAGGGAACATACAGATATTGAAAAGGAGAGGGCCAAGGGCAGAACCCTGAGGGATACCACAGGTGACGGTGCGGGGGCTGGAGGAGAAGCTGTTAGTGGCAGCAAAATGTGGAGTCCTGTAGCTCAGTGGTTAGAGCACTCGCCTTGCAAGCGAGACACATGGGTACAATTCCCGGCAGGGCAAAACCTTGGGAAAGTTTCCTTACTCCACACACCTAATAATAATCCCTCCAAAACAAACAATAATAAATTGGTCATTTTCAATCCACTGTTTGTGGGACACTGCTGTGCGCAATTGGCTGCCGTGTTTCGCCCACAAATATACAGTCAATTCACTAAAGCATATTCTGTGAAGAGCTTTGAGACGTCTCGAAGGCGTGAAAAGCTCTATATCAAATGCAAGGATTATTATTATTTATTATTAAAATGGAGACGGTGGGAGAGGTAGAATTCAAATCAGTCAAGGGCAGCTCTGCGAATGTTGAGCTGAAAAGACAGGTGGAATGGTTGACTGTATCGAAGGCAGCAGAAAGTTTGAGGGGGACAACAACAACAACGAGATTACAATTGTATAGGAGGCAGAGGGAGCCCTGGTTGCAAATGTTCAGAATGTCGTTAGTGACTTTGGAACTCAATTGTAGGAGTTTGAGGAGGGAATGGCGGGAAAGGAAAGAGCGAAGCTGGGACATTACCTCGTTCCAGGGACTTGGAGAGGAATGGGAGGTTGGAGATGGGGTGATAGCAGGGATGGGTCCAAGGAAGGATTTTTGAGGATGGGGATCATGCTGTTTTTAGAAAGGTGGGAACAATGCCAGTGGATAAGGAGAGGTTGTTGATATCGGTTAAAAGAAGGGCCAGGAAGCAGAGCTGGGAGGTGAGGAGATGGGGTAGGGATGGGGTCAAAGGTGCAGGTGGTGGGCTTCATTTTTGAGATAATAGAGGTGAGGGAAGAGGGGAAGATAGGGTCGAAGGTGTTAGGATGGATGGTTGGAAGTTGGGTGTGAGGCGGGGATGGTGAGGCGTGTAGCAGTGGATGGGGAGAGGTAGTTGAACGAATCCCTTTGAATTTGGACTCACGGAAGTCCAACATCTCCTCGCAGTTGGAATTGGAGGAGGATGGGCGAGGCGCTGGAAGGTGGATGGAAGAGGTGTTTAGTGGTGGAGAAGAGGAGCCTGGGATTGTCCTTGGCCTCCAAGATCATCTTGGAGTAAAAAGATGATTTAGCGGAGGCGAGAGCGGAGCAGTAGGTCTTAGTGTGGTCAAGCTGGCGATGGACCGTTAGGTTTGATTTGGTCCAGATGCGTTCGGTGGCACACACTTGTGCCTTGAGGGATCAGAGATGGCTAGTGTACCGGGGGAATTTATGGGAATATGAGACGGTTTGGGAGGTGAGGGGAGCAAGGGAATCAAGGATGGAGGAGAGGGCGCTGTGGTGAAGAGAGATCGAAGAGGAAGGCTAAAAGAAAGTATAACAACAACAACTTAAGTTCATACAGTAGGGCTACGTCTTGGTACACTCTGCTGGGACAGGGCTGGAAATAAAGCAGTGGGGGGTGGGGTGGGGGAGAGGTGGAGGGAAGTGGCTGTAGGCACCTTCAAAGAGGAAGGATTTGGGGGGAAATTTAAAGACATAGAGAGGGGGGTTGGGGGGTTGGATGAGGGCGATGAAGGGTGGAGGGGGTGATTTCCAGAGGTTAGTTTAGGAACTGAAGGCCGAGTCACCGCTGATGGTGGCATAGAGACAGAGAGAGAGAGAGAGAGAGAGAGAAAGCGAGAACATGGGTGGCAGATGCACAGCAAGAAGGTGCAAGTTAAAGGATCGGATGTAAAATGGCGGCTCACAGTACCAGAACGTCTCAAAGTGCTTTACTGTAGCTGAGCGGGGTCTGAGCTGGGGGGTGGGGGGGGTCGGGGGTGGTGGGCCAGGCGGGGGCTGGAATCTGGTGAGGTTGAGGTGGAGTATTCCTGGAGCGAGGTCCAGAGGGAGAGTGTGAAGGTGAGGCAGGGCAAAGTGGTCTGCTGACAAATAATGGAATGGAGCATCTTAATGGGTTATTTTCTGGAGCCAAAACGAGGATTAAATGCAATGGACTTTACAGCTGCTCGCTTGAATAATAAATATTAATAATAATCCTTGCAGCCCCTCATCCTGTCTGTCGATTTTCGGCCAGTTATCAGGTCGTGCTTCTTGCCCCCGACCCGCCCAGCTCTGCCCCACCATCGGCACTCTCCATCTGGAACTCTCCGGAAGAGCACTCAGTGAGCGTCCATCTGCCTCATCTCCCCTGCCCTCGGCCAGGCTTTCAGCCTATCTGTCCCCACTCTCTGGAACTCCATCCCGGAGTCTCTCCAACTCACCCACTGGCAAAACCTTCCTCTTTGACCGCGCCTTTGCTCCTCCTTCCCCTCCCCACCCTCTCAGCTCCCATCCCCAGCTCAGGTGTTAAACCAGGAGTGTTAAGCACCTTGGGATGCCCTTCCTGCGTGAGAGGCGCTATGTAAATAAGTGTCGAACTGTATTGTATTTGGTTCAGCGTCTTTCACATCAGGAACTTATCTCAAACTGCTTCACAGCAGTTACTGTGTAATGACCGCTGGGTGAGCACAATCAATTATTTGCACGACAACGGCCCATAAACGGTATATTCTATGTACGATGTGTTGTGCTTTTATCGCATTTGCTGTGGTCGAGTTTCCAAAAGAGATTTCAAGGCAGCGCAACCAAACAAGAACAAATAAACAACAACAACCAAACAACAACAACAAACAAACAAGAACAAATAAACAACAACCAAACAACAACAAAAAACAACAACAACAACAACAACAAACAAACAACAACAACCAAAACAACAACACCCAAACAACAGCAAATAAACAACCAACAACAAACAACAACCCAAATAACAAAAAATAAACAACAACAACCAAACAACAACAAATAAACAACAACAACCAAACAACACCAGCAACAAACAACAACCAAATAATGAATAAACAACAACCAAACAGTAGCAGCAGCAAACCTCCCACACTCACACAAATGCCGTTCATGCCCTCAAGCATCTCAGCCACACAGAATGGGTGTGGGGGCCGGAGCGGGAAGGGGTACTTACTTGTGAAGGTAATGTTGAAGCCTCGGGCGGCTGTGGAATGATCTGTCAGGAACTCTAACCGAGCCACGTGCCCGCTGCTGGTCAGAGGAGAGGGAACCTTGCTCCCGGAATAAGTTCCCAGGACAGGAGACTCGGGATTCAGCCCATCCTTGACAGAGACAAAGTCAAACTGCGGCTCTACGTCAAAGTCATTGAACGCCAGGTGAATTCGGCTCTCTGATTTGGCTATAATCAGCCACACACAGTGCATGTGGTTACCGTACTCCTCCGGGTAGTTGGGAGACAGCAGCACTCCCGATGGAGTCGTGAAGTTGAAGAAACAGGAGACTGACAGGGAATGAAACACACAGGAATTCCATCAGCACAAAAATGAATTTAAATAGTCAGAGAATGTTTTTTTAGTCAGCCTGGATGTCTGACATCCACAGAAACCCGTCACCATGCTTAAGAGTATCCAAACTAGACGGAGGGTTTCATGCAACCCACCTATACATGGAAGTTCCTGGGTCTGGAATCAAATGCCCACTCTCTCCTGAAGGACGTACTCTGCGAACCTAATCCCGGAGAGTATTAGGCTCAGGTTGGTGAAAGACAAGACTTAGGGACCTCAGAGTGTACGTTGGGGTAACTGCTGGAGTCTAACTAGCTTCAACTGCATAGCTTGCCATTGGTATCACGGTCTGGTAAACTTTCTGTGCACTGCTATGATATCTTTCTGGGCTACATGTGAATACTTGCTCACATTGAATGAGCCAATACAAGGACCAACAGAGACATGTAATGGTGGATTGAGGCACTTACACACACAGCTGGGTTTCTTTGCGGACCACTGGTTGTTCTTCTGACAAGTGATGGATTTTTGCCCCACGAGCTCGAAGGCCGGCAGACACTCGAACCTCAGCGTGTCGCCGTGCAGGAATCGACTGCCCTCTCGCTTCCCGTACACCGGCGTGCCGGGATCTCCACACGTTCCCTGCTCGATCTCTGAAGGCAAGACAAGAGGGATCGGAAAGGCTCAATAAGTTGGGTACAAAACGGTCAGGCTAGAGAAAACAGCTCCTCTTGTTCCACTCATGTTCATGAGATTTGGAAGTATTAAAGCTGAGAGCAGATGTCTCATGTAATGGCATCGCGCTTTCAGTCTGTCCCCACTGGCCTACCCAAACCACAATAACCCAATGAGATTCAGGCAGCGGGTTTGACACCCAACCTTGGACATTATTGGCCTCCCTGTCCAGCTCGCTCTCAAAATCTCTTCACCTTGCCCTCCACTCTTCCCAGGAGTTAATGGAGAGGGTTTGAAATGGAGAGGGAGAGAATTCGAGGGGTCATCTGCATCCTGTGCGATGTGGGGAACTACCTCCTGCTTCACAGCCGAATATCTGCCCAGGTTTTGTCATCATTCCGATTTCTGAAAGTATCGTCACAATTAGAGACTTGCTTCTGAGGGTGTGATTAACAGTGAAGCTGTTAACAGGGCTTTGTAAACACCAGAAAAACAGCCGCTTTCTTTTCCTCACTGAATGTCTTTTTCTTTATGATGAATGAGAACCTATTAAATGCTCACGATCTCTGTCACTGGTAACACTCTCACACCTCGCAGTCGCACCTCAATAGGCTGATTATTTCTTTGTTCATTTTAATTAGGCTTCATAATTGAATGTAAATAGGATGCAGTCACTATTTGTCCAAACAATGCGACAATGTGATGTACCTTATTCCCTGAAGAATTGAAACTGACCTAGTTTCCATTCATTGCAACTGACTCCAGGGGAAACCCAGTGTGTTACAATCACATTACACAAAAGGTTACGGCAAACACATGGCACTGAGCTCAGGTCTTTGAACTCAACCTAAGCTGACGTTCCAGCGCAGCACTGGGGGCAGTGCTACATTATTAGAGGGGGGAGAAGCAGGGTGATCGAAAGCACGGTTGGAGAGGAGGGTCTTGAGATGGGTCTTGAAGGAGGCGAGAGAGGGGGCGAGGAGGAGGGATTGAGTTCCAGAGGGTGGGGGTAGAGTGGCAGAAGGCTCACCTGCTAATGGTGGGTTAGGCGAGGCGAGGGACGTGAAGTAAGCCAGAGCCCGCTGAGCGGGCGGAGTGGGGAGGATGGTAGAGGGTTAGGAGAGAGTAAGACCATGGAGGGCTTCGTGGAGCAAGACCATTGAGGGCTTAAACCGAGGTGAGGTCCTTTCAACGCCTGTAAAGGTGAACGTTATTGCCAGAGGTGGAGTCAGTCTGGATGAGGAAGGTGGAGTTAACAGCATTACCTCCAAGCTTCGATGCACGTGGGTAATGTGACTACATACATGAATATGTCTACGTGCCCAGTGTTGTCATTGAACATAATAATAATAAGCATCGCATTTGATATGTGCGCCTTGAACATCAAAGTGGCTAAAAGGGGCTTTACAGTAATTCCTCCAAAGTGTAGTAATTGTATATTTTTGTCGACAAATGAGGCAATTTGTGCACTGAAATCTCCCACAAACAACCGTGAAGTGAATGACTTCTGAAACGTTAAGCGTTGCCAGAAAATCTGAAGGACTCTTGTCCAGGACGCCGGGAGAAAGGCTTTAAATTGTGTTGTGTGTCGGCTGATGTCCACCTGAAAGGGCATAGAGAGGACGTCAGTTGAACGTGAACGGGAAGTGTGCAGAGCTGAGAATCTTGCTCTGTGAAACTGGTTGCCAAACAGGTGATGTTTTCCAATAGGTCGGATTCCTGCCACCTGCCTGGGAACTGGTTTGCAGATCCCTGAACAGCAACCAGCCTTTAGCAATTCCTAAACCCACGCTGAACCTACTGAGTTTGCGAGCCACAGACTGGCACCTGTAAATCCACACAGCTCAGCTGGGACACCGCCATCTCTTCTGGCCACACTTAACGTTTCAATTGACAGAAGCGTGTCTGAACTGGATCCAGAAAAGTACTAAATCTAAGTGAAGCCCAACCCTTAACTCCCCAACATCAACAATTTGCACTTATACAGCACCCCTTACCCAGGGTAACGTCCCAGAACGCTTAACAGTGATGGAGCACGATGCCGAGCCAGGGGAAAAGGTGACTGTAGGCACGATCGAATAGGAAGGTCTTTAGGCGTGACCTGAAGCTGGGGAAGGAAGGAGCAAAGCGAAGAGATATCACAATACAACGCAACATATGTTGACAGGCTTTGCACGTTGGGAGGAATGAGATGTGCCTTGAAAGAGAGAGAAAGCGAGCGAGTTGGAGGGACTCCAGACTGGTTTTGGTTTGGGCATCAGCCACTGCTGAGCTGCTGTTGGTTGGACACACTGAGCAGGGCTTTGCTGAGAAGCAGCTGAGATGTGAGCCCTGAGGACCGGCCCAGAGCAGCGTGACCCACGAGCGAGCGGCGAGTTTGACAACAAAATGGACGAGAAGCTTTTGGAACGGAATCATTTGAACAGCTGCCCGCATTGGAGCAGTCCCACACCAGCCCGCAAACTGTGTGCAAGAGCTGTCGGCCTGACCAGTTGCTATTTACATTTTAAAAAAACACTGCACGGAACTGTCTCAGATACTCCTGCTTATGTAGTCTGGGCAGAGCTGCGAGTTAGGAAAAGAATCCTTTTATGTCTGACACGGCATCAGTCACAGGGCTCCCCTGTGGCTCGCTGTCAGTTCACTATCAGCCACTGTGTGTTCAGCTCACAGTGAATGTGAGCAGAGAGACCCCATGTGATTTAGGTCAACACTCAGCTGGATTCAAGCCAGTGTCTGAGTGAGGACAGTGGCCATACACCACAGTCAATAATTGGTATTACGCGCTTCGCTTTTCCTTTCTACCATTCTCGCCTCTGATAATAACAGTCCAATCTAATCACAACAACAACAACTTGCGTTTATACAGCGCCCTTCGCGCAGGGTAGCGTCCTGGAGCGCTTGACAGTGGCGGATTCTGACCCTGAGTCAGAGGGAGTGGGAGGGGGGAGGTGACCATAAGCATGATCAAAAAGGAAGGTCTTTAGGCGGGATTTGAAGGTGCGGAGGGAGAATTCGGAGGGATTGAGGAAGAGAGGTCCAGAGTTTCGGGGTGTAGTAGTTGAAGGCATGGCCAACAATGGTCATTTAACCAAGTGAAAGGGTATCGTAAACATAATAATAATAATCCTTGCATTTGATATAGCACCTTGTTACATTATTGAGACTTCTAAATGTGCTTCACAGGACAAACTGTAAAGTAAATTGATTGCATTCTGTGGGCAAAACTCGGCAGCTCGTTGGCAAAAGCAATGTCCCACAAACAACCGTGGAGTGAGGATGAGGATTGACAGCCAGCATCGGTGGGAGACAGAAACTCTCTTAATAATAATATAATCCTTGCATTTGATATAGCGCTTTTCACGTCTTCGAGACGTCTCCAAGGGCTTCACAGAATATACTGTAAAGTGAATTGACTGTATATTTGGGGGCAAAACACAGCAGCCAATTGTGCACAGCAGTGTCCCACAAACAGTCGTGGATTGAAATGACCAATTTATTATTTTTTTTGAGGGATTATTATTAGGCGTGTAGAGTAAGGAAACTTGCCCAAGGTTTCACCCTGCCTCTTCTCTTGTCGAATAGTGCCATATGATCTTCAACATTCACCTGAACAGGCAGATGGGAGCTCGGTTTAAAGCATCATCTGAAGGACGTCAACTCTGATAATGCAATACACCCCCCCCACCCCCACCGCCGCACTGGGGTGTCAGCTGAGACTATGTGATTCTAAGTCCTGATGTGGGGCTTGAACCCACAACCTTCTGACTCAGAGATGAGTGTGTGACCACTGTGCCAGACTGGCACACAAACAGTCAGGGAAAAGGCCACAAGATTGATGAATTTCCAGCCACGAGAGTCTTGCTCAGCAGAGGTCTCCCCTCTCGGGACACAGACACAGTCCAGGACCGCAGTGTCCCAACTCCTCCTGGCTTCTGTGAAAGAACAATGACTTTGTTCGGCTACATGTTACACAGTCACTACACCTTGCAGCAGCTCCTGTCAAACTGAGAATTGTCAGTGACAGGTGGAGATTTTAAAAGGAGGGGTGAAAAAAAAAGTGAACTCACTGCTAGAAGCTGTGATTGAAGCCAACAGCATCAATGTATTTAAGAAGAAACTTGGTGAATACATCACAGAGAAGGGAATAGAGGGTCTAGACTTATGTGGAATATAAACACCGACACTGACTGGGGGCGCTGATGGCCTATTTACACATCACCCAATGTAATTACGTTTTGCACCATTCAGTTCAAGAAATGCTGTGGGGATTGTGTATTTCTGTCGGTGAAATATTTTTAGATTGATTTTTGGCATGAAGATTTAGTGTTAGAAATCCTGAACAGATTTTTTGAAAAATATATATATGTGTGGAGTCCTGTAGCTTATTGGTTAGACCAGTCACCTCGCAAACGATTCCTGAACGGTGCAAAACCTAAAGCAGTTTCCTTACTCCACGCACCTCTGTAGGAACCAGGTTGTTAGTCAATTGACTAATCACTTTCTGGGAATGATAATCCCTTAAAAAAACATGTGGTCACTCAATCTACAACTATTGGTGGGACACTGCTGTGCGTAATTGGCTGCTGCATTTTTCCCACAAAATATACAGTCAATTCTATAAAGCTCACTGTAACATCTCAACGATACAAGGATTATTATTTTTATAAAGGTTCAAATTTTGCCAAGAAAATTTGGTTTATTTAAGGGTGTAATGACGCTGAGAGCTGAGTCACCAATAGAGAAAAAAAACTTTCAGAAAGAAGAATTCCTAATTGAATTTACGTTTCCAAAAAAAGGATTCACATCAGATCAGATTGAAGGTCCTGAACATCACAGAGACAGATTATAAGCGATTGCACCTCATCATCCGTCTTGTTCTGCTAGTGAATGCAATACTGTAACTTGCTGGGTTTTTTTATATATGAAAAAGTGGTTCAGTTACTTTGGCTTGTTGACCTCAATATCTGTTTAAACAGGGAGAAAATGTCCTGGATTTGCTGTTCACAACAGGCACCCACTATCCATCCATCTCTGACATAAAAAAGCACAGCTTACTGCTCCCTCTGTAATAGAGAAACCAGACTGAACACACTCACTGCTACTAACAGGAACAAACCATGACTTCTGATTCACACGCTATTTATCACTCCTTCCTCAAAGCATAGCAATGTCCCATAATCAGACGTGAAACAAATGACCAATTTTGTTCTCAGCCAGGACATCAGGAGAACTCTCTTCTCTTTTCAAATACAGAAGTGTCACAGGATCTGTAACATCGACCTGAACAGACACAGACAGCACACCTGGGTTTAAGCTCTCTTCTGAAGAACTGCACCTCCGAAAATGCAGCGCTGCCCAGCATCAGGTTCGAATTTGAGCAGAAACAGGAGTCTGTGCGAATCCATTACAAATATACTATAATAAACACAGATGTCGCTGGGAACACTCAGCATGTCAGGCATCTATGGAGAGAGGAAAGTGAGTTAACGTTTCAGGTTGATGACGAGTTCTGACGGAATGTCATCGATCTGAAACGTTAACTCACTTTCCGCTCTCCATAGATGCTGCCTGACCTGCTGAGCCTTCCCAGCGACATCTGTTTTTATTTCAGATTTCCAGCATCTACAGTATTTTGCCTTTTTGCCAAATATACCACGTAGCTTTTCAGAGACTTCATCATATCATGTAAAACCACAACAAACCATTAGAGTTCAAAATTAAGATCAGTGTTTTGCTTTGAATGGAAATTATCAATTGATTTTATACATTTGCTCCTTAATCCCTTTATAATTATTCTTCGGGATGGTAAAATAATTTGTTTGGTATTGCTTATTTGCATCACAAAGCATTTTCTATCAGTGGGCAATAGCTTCACAGTCTCGAATCGATGAAAAAGAATAATAATAATCCTTGCATTTGATATAGAGTTTTTCATGTATTCTCGACGTCTCAAAGCGCTTCACAGAATAGACTAAAGTGAATTAACCGTATATTTGTGGGCGAAATGTGGCAGCCAATTGCGCACAGCAGTGCCCACAAACAGTCGTGGCTTGAAAATGACCAGGCACAGTAACTAATACTATGTATTGTATAACTGTAAATGAATATAACTGAAGCTTACGGCATTACAGGAGCCAGCACGTGGGCTGAATAACGCCTCCTGTGGTGCGGGGGTTATAATACAATATTTCTAGAATTAATCATTGTTCCTTTTTTAAGGAGTTGTACTTAAGGAACAGTTTATTGACTGGTCAGAAAATGCGTCCTCAATAACGATAATAATAAATGTATTTGATATTGCACATGATGTGTCAGCTTGTCTCAGTCCCCTTAACTCTCACCTCAGAGTCAGAAAATTGTGGGATCAAACCCCATATCGGGGACTTTGAGCTCATAGTCTAGGCTCATCCTCCAGTGTGGTGCTGGGGGGGGACACCACATCATTGGAGGTACCGTCCTTTGGATGAAATGTTAAACCCAGGTCCTGTCTGTGCCTGTTCAAGTAGACGTTAAAGTTCCCAAGGCACTATTCAAAACGAGAAGGGAGTTTCTCCCTGTGTCCTGGGTAACAATCCCCCAGGAAATAGAACCCTATCACAAAAAGCAAAGATGTGTGCCTGTTGTATATGTCACCATTAAAATAAACAGATGCCAAAATCTGTAAATTATTTCATCTCTGTGCATTAGCACTCAGCAGGAATCTGTGCTGCAAGCATTGACAATTCCCTGACACATGTCTGTCTATCCACGCTCCACATGAACAGGATCAACCTTTGATAAACTGCAGCATTTAATGTCTAATTCTACTCATTTATATCAGGCTCACTTTAATCATGAATTCCACAACCATCTTCATCTCACATCCAATGCAACACTCTGCCTTTGAGTTTCTTTTTTTTAGTATTTTAAAAACAAAGGAGCAAGATTTCACATTAATAATAAAACTGTTTCCACTTTGCTGAATATTGATGACTTGTGTGGGTGGCATGAATTTATATTCAACCAGAAATTAGCTTCTCTGAATTCTGCAGGTATAAAATTGACTCTCTGCGCACGTTTATTTTATAAGTCAGATTGCCTGACTTTAGATTGGCATCTGTCTTCTTTTCGACTCTATTTAACATTTAAAATATGTGCACAATATATTAGGAACATACAGTGCACTGTGTGAAGTACACGAGTGATAATTATCCATGCATTTGATACAGCACCTTTCACATCAGGAGGACGTCTCAAAACTCTTTAAAGGATTTTATTGTAAATTGTAAATTGTCTGTGTATTTTGTAGCCAAACTCGGAAGCCAATTTTGCACACAGTAATGTCCCACAAACAACTGTTAAGTGAATGACTGACTGTACCTGGGGGATTGTTGGCTGGGAGACTGGGAAACACTACTTTCGCTTTTCAAATTATGCCACGGAATCTTTAATTCCCCATAATAATACTAATAATCCTTTTGATATTGCGCTTTTCACGTCTTCTCGATGTCTCAAAGTGCTTCACAGAATAGACTGTAAAGTAAAGTGAACTGACTGTATATTTGTGGGCGAAACGCGGCAGCCAATTGCGCACAGCAGCGTCCCACAAACTGTCATGGATTGAAGTAACCAATTTATTATTGTTTTTTTTCTTGAGAGATTATTATCAGGCGTGTAAAGTAAGGAAACTTGCTCAAGGTTTCGCCCTGCCGGGAATCAAACCCAAAAAATCAATCATTCACCTCATGATTGTTTGTGGGATAAAATTGGCTTCCACGTTTGTATTGTGATGCCCTCCTGAGGTGAAAGGTGCTTCACAAATGTAATTTTGTTGTTGTTGTATACAAAAAAGTCACCAAACTTTATTGTAAATCCTGTGAAGCGCTTTGAGACATCCTTCCAACATGAAAGGCATGATACCAAACAGAAGGCTTATTATTATCAGCACCTTGGGACATCCTTCCAACGTGAAAGGTGCTATAGCCATGTATTTTTGTTATTTGTTGTTATTATTATCATGATTCTTGCTTTAAACCCAAGTGGAAAGAAGACATCCAAACCCATTGCCTTACAAAGAGATCCAAATTCCTTCACTGATAAAACAAACCTAAAGTAGGTTCATAACATGACATTCAACATAAGTGCCATTGAAATAAAGTAATTGTTCAAAACATGTGGACAGGGGTAAAGGACCAGTTTTGCAGTTGGTGAGGGAGAGAGGGAGGGAGGGGCCCTTTAAAGGTCATTGCGAAGCATTGTTACTGGGAGCCTGATCGATCATGGGTATGGATTTCTCAGCAGCCCTTCTTGTTGTATGAAGCTCTGCTGGGTAAACAAAGGCCAGGCCAGGCACAAACACAGCCAAACAGATAATTAATTGGTCAACAAATGATCGCACAGCCCACTGCCTGCCTGGCTCCAAGCAAGAAGAGCCACTGAAGTAATCCAACTGCACATCCTCACCGCAGAAACTAATGGACTTAATATGACCGACAATGGCCATCTCCACATCCTCCGTCCCACCATCAGCCACTTGGAGACCGTTCTCTGGAACTCCTTTCCCAGGTCTCTTCGACTCGCTCCCTCCTTCCCTCCCCCTTTCAAGGTCTGTTTTAGAATGCGTCTCTTTGACTGCGCTTTCGGTTCTCTTTTCCCTCCTCGCCGGTCTCAGCTCCCACCTTCAGCTCTGATGTCCAGCCAGAACTGTCAAGGGTTGTGGAGTGTTCTCTTATTGTGACAAGCCCAAATCGTATTGTATTAAAACAACACAATATTAGACAACAAATTTCTCCTGGGATTCACTGATATTCAACCTTCCTGAAGAGTAGGTTATTTGCTGAGATGGTGAGAATAGACTTATTGTTTGTGTTGTATAATGATGAACTTGTCTGTTGTGAGACTAAGAGAGAGAAGCGAGAGAAGGTATTTGTGGGATTTTCCTGTGTGTTCCACACACCATTACCAGCACAGAGGCTGTGTAGGTAAATTTACAATCCATAGATTTACACAGACTGTACGCCACAGAAATAGGCCACTCAGCCCAACCAGTCTGTATCGGGCTTTATGCTCCACACAAGTTTCCACTTGCTCTTTTCTCCAGTCCTTATTCTTCTATTCCCCTCTCCCTCGTGTGTGTGTGTGTGTCTATAATAAACCTTCCATTTGATACAGCACCTTATTAAGTTGAAATGTCTGAAAACACTTCACCAGAATATGACTGTAAAATGTAGTGACTGTGCATAGTTCAAGCCTATTTTAGTGCAGCACATAACATCTCTCCTCACCGACAAACCATCAGTCAGAGTCTCAGGTAAGCAAGTTTGGCCTTGGATCGGCTTGGGCCAGTGTTACACAGATTTCTGGTCTCATAGTTTTTGCAATGATGTGAAGCAATGCATTGTAATAATAATAATACTAACCCTTATGTTCCTTTCATTTGATATTGCGCCTTATTATGTCATTGAGACATCTCAAAACAGTTCACAGAATACATTGTAAATTGGACTGTATTTTGTAGGTGAAGCACAGCAGCCAATTACGCACAGCAATGTCCCACACATGGCCGTGGATTGAAGGACCACATTTTTTTGAGGGACTATTACCCCCAGAAAGTGATCCGCCAATCGACTAACAACTGGGTTCCTCCTCACCGCTAGATAAACAGAGGTGTGTGGAGTAAGGAAACTTGCCAAAAGTTTCGCAAGCGAGAGGCCCCGGATCCACTCTCTTGCGAGGCTAGCGCTCTAGCCAGTACGCTACTGGATTCCACCCGCTCTAATAGGATCCGTGAGAGACTGGGTCGTTTATAATGGAGACACGAGTAGCTCCATTCCCTTTCAATTCCTCCCATTTGTGTTAGATGCTGTGCGCTGTGGTTGTTCCTGTGGCAGGTACCTTGGTACGTGGCTCTGAAGCCCAGCAAGCTTTTGGTCTCATCAGTCTGGAACTCCACCCACAGCTGGTTGCTCACGCTGACGATCAGGTCGGGAACACTTGTCCCTGTCAAACTGCCAGGTGAACATCAGAAAAATATAATTACTACAAATCCAACAGCATTCCAAACGTCAGGTTTTGTGAAGTACTTTGATACGTCCTCTCATGAAATGCGCAAGCTACCTACATCTCAGTTCTATTAATAATAATCCTTACATTTGATGTAGCGCCTTGCAAATTTGGAGGACATCTCAAAACGTTTCACAGGATTCATGGTGAAGTTTAATGACTGTGTATTGTGAAGGCATGCACGACAGAACATTCCACACAGAGCCATGAGGTGAATGGCGTATCATTTGGGGGATTGTTGGCCAGTTTTTGGATTGTTTTTGAATAGTACCGTGGGATCTTTACAGTCCACTTGATCAGACAGTTGGTTTAATGTCTCATCTGTAAAATGGTAGCTCCGACAATACAACACTGCGGTGAGAGTGAGCCAGGCTGACACCCCGTTGTATTGAGCACACACTGGAATTGGATGGGAAAGCTAATACTCACACATGAAGCACTGTTTTGGGTTCTCCCGGTTGCCCACCATCGCCCACTGTCAGTGTGTCGTAGCCTCGCTCCAACTCAAAATCATCAAAGGTCAACTTGATGACCTGGTGGATAGAAATTAACCCACTGATAAAGGCATCAAATGATGAGCAGACAGTCAATAACAACAACAGCTTATAATAATAATAATCCTTGCATTTGATACAGCGCCTTATTGTGTCTTCGAAACGTCTCAAACGCCTCATAGAATACACTGCAAAGTGTAGTGACTGTTTATTTTGTGGGCGAAATGTGGCAACCAATTGCGCACAGCAGTGTCTCACACACAGTCGTGGATTGAATGACCAAATTATTATTATGTTTTTTTGGAAGGGATTATCGCTCCTGGAAAGCGATCCGCTAAACAACTAACAACATCTTGCACCTTCACGCAGGGTAACGTCCCGGAGCACTGACCACAACTCACGGAGAGAGACGTGGTCACAAAATCTCAAGATTGGTTCGGATGAAGAAGGCCCTTTCAGCTCATCTAATCTCATCCCCCCACACATCAAGCATTTTTTTAAATGGAAAATGGTGGAAAGGATGTCCAGTGGGAAGGGCGCTATATAAATGCAAGTTGTTGTTGCTCATTTAAACAAGGCTGTTGCATCTCACCTAGATCGGCTTTGAGGTTTATAATGCTCACGCTGGGAGGTCGACTCACAGCGCCTCGCAGGGTAAACTGTAAAGTGTAGTGATTGTGTAATTTTTAGGTGAGCGCTGCAGCCAATTGACAGAAGGGAATGTCCCACAAATAGCGGCAAGGCTGCCCTGAGCATCACTGCAGTACAAAGCTTTAACGTCCGGGTTGGTAAACTTCTGCAGTTGAATTGCACTTTAAATTGTTCCCTTTCTGTACATTTGCGCGAGCACATGGGTTCCGGAGAGCAGCCTGCCACCGGCCCACTCACTGCACAAACCAGGGTAAGGCTGATTCCGCATGCAGCTGTCACAAGGAAGAGGAAGAGATTTTCGGCACATCTCTCTGGGCTACCCTGAAACCCCGCAAACAGAAAGGAAGGTGCTTAATCATCCAGTGCCTGTGGATAGATTTGGTTCTGATCACAAGCAATACCTTCCGTCCATTTCCTCTGTCTGCTTTATATAGAGCAATAATGTCCCACATGCACTTCACAGAACACTTAGGTAACTGAGCCCTGGATTTATGGGATGTACTGTACACTCTCTGCAACTTTCCTTCTTTTCAAAAGTTTCAAAAGGTTTTTTCCAGTGTTGTCCATGCACCAGAAACAAAAGTTATAAAACAGAGGCCAAAAAGGCACATATTTACAGAGTTTTTTTTTAACATGACTTCAACAACAACAACAACAACAATAACAAGAAGATTCCATGTGTGTAGCACCTTTCCTGTCGGGAGGACGTCCCAAGGCGCTGGACAGAGAACAGCATTTCAGACCCGAGCTGGAGTTGGAGGGATAAGGGAGGGGAGGGGAAGGGGGTTGGTCAAAGAGGAGGGTCTTGAGGCGGGATATGAAGGAGGCTAAGGAGGGGGCGAGGCGGAGTGATTGGGGATGGAATTCCAGAGGTTGTGGCAGAGTGGCTGAAGGCTCTCCCACCAATGGTGGGGCGGGTGGGTTGGGGAACATGGAGCAGACCAGAGCCGGCTGAGCGGAGGGAACGGGCGGGTTGGTAGAGGGTTAGGAGATCGCAGAAATAGGGTGGGGCGAGTCCATGGAGGGCTTTGTACGTGAGGACCAGGATCTTGAAATGGATCCTCTGAAGGATAGGGAGCCAATGAAGTCAGGTGAGAGTGGGGGAGATGGGGTCATGGAGTTTGGTGCGGGAGAGGACACGGGCTGCAGAGTTCTGGATTATCTGCAGCTGTGGAAGGAGGAGTTGGGAAGGCCGACAAGCAGGGAGTTTGCATAGTCGAGCCTGGAGGTGATGAAGGCATAAACAAGAGTTTCAGCGCCTGAGGGGTGAGGTAGTGGCGGAGTCGGGCAATGTTATGGAGGTGAGGGAAAGCAGAGCGGGTCATGGCTTGGATGTGGGGGAGAAAAGACAGTTGAGAGTCAAACAAGACACCGAGGTTCCTGACTGGTGGTGAGTTGTTGTGAGCGACCATGGAGGTTAATGCTGCCAGAGCCTGAGGTGCTGAGGCGCTGGTGTGAGCCAATCAGGAGGGCCTCAGTCTTGTTCACATTCAACTGTAGGAAATTTACCCTCATCCAGGACTTGATGTCCCACAGGCAGTCTGTCAGGACAGCAGTGGTCCTGGAGTTGAGGGTGGAGGCAGAAAGATAGAGTTGGGTGTCATCCGCATACTTGTGGAAGTCTGCGAATCCATGTCTGCGGATGATGTCACCAAGGGGGAGCATATAGATATTAAAGAGAAGGCAAGGACAGAGCCCTGGGGAACGCCAGATGTGACAGTGCGGGGGCTGGAGGAGAAACCATTAGAGGCAACGAAGTGGAGACAGTGAGAGAGATAGGAATCGAACCAGACAAGGGCAGGTCCATGAAGATTGAGTAAAGCGGAGAGGCGGTTGTATGAGGATGGAGTGGTCGACAGTGTTGAAGGTGGCAGAGAGGTCGAGGAGGACAAGGATGCAGAGGGAGCCCTGATCACAGATGTTCAGAATGTCATTAGTGACTGTTTCCATGCTGTGGGCAGTGCGGAAGCTGGATTGGAGGGGTTCAAAGAAGGACTTCAGTTAATGGCTGCCACAGTTATGATCTTGTTTAAAGTTGAGGTGAACCGATCTTATGTTATGGAAAACGTACTGTTATTTCGCTTCACGGGGCTAAAGGGCAAAAACATCTGACATTTCATAATGAACAAGACGTGATATCACCATATACTTGAACATAAAAATCAGTCGTTCCCTTCACTGCCGTTTGCGGGATGTTGCTGTGTGCATATTGGCTGCTGTGGTTTTCCTACAAATGGAGTTACTGGGCAGAAATCTTGTCAAATGCTTTGAGACAGTTGACATTTTATAGTTGCTGTATCAAATTCAAGAACTATTATTGTTTTCAAAGAGTGATCACTGGATATTTGGTGGCGATTTCAAAGTCGTCATCAAATCAAGGGATTACGATGAGTTATTATAGATAATAGTGAATTCCTGAGAGTGATTAGGACACCGGAATGAAATATGGAGATTTGTATGTATTGTGTAATATTGTACACCTTGGAGTGATTCCAAGGCCATAAGATCATTGAAGAATTAAGGTGGATTATGTAGAGAGGAAAGAATATCTGGCAATTGTAGCAGTCTAATGCAGAGTGAAAAGAGATATACTGGCACATAACAATAATAATAATACTTGCATTTGGTACAGCGTCTTTCATGTCAGAAGGCTGTCTCACAGAACTTTACAGGATAAAGTGTAAATAGGAGTGACTGTGTGTTCTAAGGGTGAAACGCTGCAGCCAATTTGTGCACAGCAATGTCCACATCAGCCATGTAGTGAATGACTAATTTTATTTGGGGGAATTGTTGGCCAGGACACCGGGACAGAGAAATTCCTTTCCCTTTTCAAATAGTGCCATGGGAACTTTAACATCCACCTGAACAGGCAGACAGGAATGTGGATTAACATCTCATCTGAAAGCCGGCATCTCCAACAACGCAACTCACCCAGCACTGCATTGAGATCCAAGCCCAAACATGTTTGAGCCCACAACCTTCCGACTCCGAGGCGAGAGTGCTACCAACTGATCCCGGCTGATACATGAGATGCAATACAATACAAGTTACATTTGCACAGCACCTTTCACAACAGGAGGACGTCTTGGCACTGCTGGTTGGCTGGGGGTGGGAGTTGAAGGAGGTGTGGAGAGGAAAAGGCGATTGAAATGGTGGTCAAATTGATAGGTCTTACTACAAATACATGTGAATACATCAAGTGAATCTGATCATTTGCCAAAACAATGTTCACCCCACATGCAGCAGGTAATAAGCTAGGAATAATTTGCCGTCCGTTGCAGGAGATGTTACAGCCAGAAAGGCATTGGATTTTAATAATGAACTAAAGGAGAAGTGATGCACAAGCTGCCCTCTAATAGCCAGTAATGTGTTCAAAGGTGTCATTAATCCAGGGGTTTATCTGCTGTATTGATTCTGGCATCCAGCTTTGTCTCATGACTGTAACAGTTGGAGGCTGGTTAATTTTCTCTCTCTCTCTCCCTCTCTCTCTCTCTCTCGTTCGCTCGTTCTCACACTGTCTCTCTCTGTTTCTCTCCCTCTCGTCTGTCTGTCTATCTGCTTCTTTCTATCTGTCCGTCTCTCTCTTTCCCGCTGTCTATTTCTCGCTCCGTCTTTGTCTCTCTCTAAGTCTCTCTGTCCCTCTCTTGCTGTCTCTTTCTATCTCTCACTTTCCCTCTCTCCTCGTCTGTCGCTCTTCCTGTCTGCTTCTCTCTCTCACCATCTATTTCTCTGTCTCTCACTGTCATTCTCTCGCTCCCTCTCACAGTCGTTCTCTCTTGCTCTCACACTGTCTGGCCCTCACTCTCTCACTGTCAGTCTCATTCTCTCTCTCTCTCTCTAACTCCCTCCCCCTATATCTTGCTGCGGGAACATTGCACGGCTGTTTGCCAGGATGTTAATGGATCAGAAAGTGCTGATGATCCCATATATCCGGAAATCTTACTGGAGTCATCTGACCCTAGAAATTTCCCAACATGGTCAATTTAATTAGGTTACTACTTTAAAACCATGAGAATTAAAAATCTACTGAGATTTATCTCATTCGTTTGTGTGTGGAATTTAATGGGATTAATAACAGATCGTCAGTTCCATTCAATTTTTGGGTGAAAAATTATAATGAACTAAGCTTTGCATTCGATACAGTGTCTCTCTCATGTCAGGAGGATGCTTCAAAAGCCCTAGCAATAGGAGCAATGCTGCTATTCATTCATTGAAAAAAATGCCATTAATATAAAATATAAAGCTCAACCTTAACAAATGACAATTACGACGTATTTCCACACTTTGCCTTGTTCTTAAGAGAGAGACCCGGAAGCTGGGCCATGCCTTGGTTAGAGGATGAATGTCCCATTCATGACAAACACACAACAAGTGGCCTCCAAGGTCCC